CACATGGACACGGTCCGGCCTTGAAAGTGGTTTGACCCACTTGATATAAACGTGACAGTACTTGGTCAGAGTACGTCGATATATAAATCTTGAAACTTTTACTTCGTCCACTAAATGTTTGGTTAACCCTAGTACGGTCATTTAAATAAAACACTTTTTAATGTTTTCAAACACAAACCATTTTGAAATCATTTAATGGTTCACGTCCCCTTTTGAATCAAAACACTTTATTTCGTAGATTTCTTCTTGCAAAGTAACATGTGTATACATTTTATCTACTTATTTCATTTTCGGCCATTTCACTGTTTTAAATAAACTTAAATTAATTATTTAACTTCTTATGTCTTAGATTAGTTTTTTTTACTGACAAAGTATACATTATTGTTTAGATAGGAAAAATAAACCTTGCAAAAAAATCTTGAGTACAGCAAATATATAAAACAGGTTACAGTAAGTATGTAAAACAAATATTCAGTACTCCGTGGTTTATTGTCTTCACTATTGTCAACAATGCCATTTAGATATTCTTTTTTTTAGTGTATATAGTTATTATTATTAGTACCATACATATGGTTCAATTAGTTTTCAAATACTCTGTGGTTTATTCTTGATTTGGAAAAAAACATAAGAAAGAAAATAAACACTTTTTTTAAGAATACCGATTGTGTTTTTTTTTTCCTGAGTGCACTAGTGTTTTTTTTTACAAAAACAAGTTTGTTTTTCCTCTCTGGTTCGGTCAGCCGTAGGAAGAAAAACATCACTGGAAAACTTTATCATATGTTTTTTTACCGTACATATGTTTGTTAATTTTTTTTTAAAAACATACTTTACATATATACAGATAAATGCACACAACAAAAAACTAGAACCTAAGAGAATATTCATATGTAAGTTTATACGTATGAATGCAAGGATTTAGATTTAAAACAATATGCACAAAATATATGAACATGATATATATATAAAGGTTAGAGTCAACGGCACACCTTTGATATTAGTTAGACGAAATAATAGATTGATGAATGACAACGTTTGTAAGATGATCGATCTCGTGACAGCATCGATCCCCCACGTCTCTCTCTCCCTCAACAAAGCCACAAACCGTTCTTAATCACCTACTCTCTAAATCTATACATCTATCCTTTTCTTCTCTTGATGTGGTCATGAGTTTCTCTTGTTATGAGAGTCTATTTATAGTGAGGAAGGAGAATTCTAGAAAGTGAAGGGGAAAGTGAAGAGATAACATATTTACATTAATTCAATAAAATATTAAAGTATAATTAAAATAAAAATGACCATATTCATTACCTCCATTATGAGGTTAATGAATGGGAAGGGAGTCAAATTTTTCCCTTGTGTTAGGCGTGATGTTTTTTAGAGAGGAAAACCAATGGTTTTCTTGGTCCGTTTGTTTAATTACATGTCCGACTTCCACAGTTTTGATTATTAAATATTTTTGGAAAAATATAAAACTTATACCGTTGAGTTCCATATTTTTCACACATCATTTTAACATAATTTGTTTGTCAAGAAAATAGGTTCACTTGAACAAACTATATTTTTCAGATAGTAGAGAACCAAAACTAATTTTATTGCTTTTACTCATCCCCTCTAACAATTTAATCATTAAAGCTTGTATTCTAATTTTTTTTTTCAATAGAATAGTGATATATTTTTAAGGAACGTTTTTTTTCTCATACTTAAATTTCAAACATTTTTTTTTCAATTTTTTTTTAAATTTTATTTTGTAGTTAAAAGTTAAAAAAATTCTAGACCGGTTTTCAGGACGTTACAACTACATTACTCGTATAATTCATGTGAGTATTCACTTCGTTGTATATCAGGATATTCAAGCCATTGGAATTTATTAATTATTACTCCTGAAACTGCAACATACAGTTGCCTATGACTAAATACAGGTTTCCGTAACAATAATTCTGCATGTTTCAGATATTGTCCCTGAGAAAAATTCAATAATTTGACTTATCTAAGCAATAATTCAACATATTAATGTTTTAGTTTGGAATTTGTAGTTTTTTAATTTTATTTTCGTATTTAAATGGTACTATTTACTTACCCTACGATATTTATTTTCTATTTTATTTTAAATCACTTACCACTTTTACACGTGTCCATGCTTGTAAATTATAATATTAATAGTATTAATTTTAGAATACTTACCATTGTTACATGTTTCCATGCTTATATTATAAATAGTATTAATTTATAAATTTTTATTTTTGCATTTAAATGGTACCATTTACTTACTGTTTCGTATTTATTTTTTAATTTATTTGATAAAACTTACCATTTTAACACATTTTCATGCTTGTAAATTGTAGTATTAATTAATAGTATTAATTTGTTGTTTTTCAATTTTATTTTTGTATTTAACTGATATCATTTACTTATCGTACCGTATTTAATTTCTAATATATTTTAGAGCACTTACCGTTTTGATATTTATTTTATTTTCTAATTTATTTAGAACACTTATTTTCATGCTTGTAAATTATAGTATTAATATTAATTTTGAATTTTTTTTATTTTCTTTCGTATTTAAATGGTACTAATTACTTACCAAACCACATTTATTTTCTAATTTATTTTAGAACACTTATCATTTTTAGATGTATTTTACTTTCTCTTTTATTTTAGAACACTTGCCTAATTTATTTTATAACACTTACCATTTTTTGTTTTCATTTTTAAATAGTGCCATTTGCTTATCGTACCATACCATATTTATTTTCTAACTTTTTAATTAGAACACTTATCATTTTTAAAAATGTTTCCATGCTTGTAAATTATAGTATTAATATTAATTTGTGGGTTTTTATTTTATTTTTGTATTTAAATATTACAATTTACTTACCGTACCATATTTATTTTCTGGTTTATTTTAGAAAACTTACCATTTTTACACGTTGGTGCTTGTAAATTATAATAGTTTTTTTTTGAAATAACTAATTAATTTGTACGTAGTTTTTTTTTGAAATAATTCTTTCTAATCCTGCTCATACTTTATTAATTTATAGTTTTTTATTTTTATTTTCATATTAAAATGATACTGTATTTTATTTCCATACTATAATTTCTCAGTGGTTCACTACTATTTAATATATTTAATTTAATTTAAATACTTAAATGGTGTAATATTTAAATAAAAATGAAAACATACTTAAAATGGAAGGAAAATATTGAGGCAAAATAATTAAACTACCATTTGTGTAGTCAACACTTTCCATATATGAGTATCATATATGGGCGGGAAAACATTCACTTTTTTTAAAATAAAGTATAGATAATTATTGAGTACAAATCATCTCAACTTTTAAATTTCTACTCTCGCTTTAATACGCAGCTTTCATCATATCATTATCTTTTTTGGAAAAGCAAATTCAGCTGCATTTTGAATCCCTCCACCTGAATTGCAAAACTTTCTTCAAACTTTTATTCTCCATCCTCACAATCGAAGTCTCTTTTTTATCTCTGTTCATCTTCGTTTTCAAGATTTAACTTCCCCAACAAAAAGTACTCCCATATATAGTAACCTTCAAAAGAGTACTCTGACATGGGTGACTTCATGCTTTGCACAATGATACTGACAATAATGATCTGGTTTGCACAATTAATTATTATCTATGTGTGTCTATAACTTTATCCTTAAAAGTATATTAGGCTAGATCAGCCACATAAATTGAAATTTACAGAGTAAAAAAAACTGAATCAAAAGGAAGACGACCCAAATAAACAGATAAATCAAATTTTCAGTAAATATAGATATCAGTTCTCGGAAGGGTTGTTTATACTCCTTAATTATAGTGTTCATTCCTCATTCTAAGAAGGGATATTTATATTCTTCAATTACAATGTTCATTCGTCTTCATCGTTCACTATTAAAGGTTGTTATGTTGATGACAGACAAACTAATCAAGTGTATTTCAGTCGATTACATACAGTGACACCTTCCTATCTAGTCTATACTATATTGGGGGCTAAAAGGTCCTTGAATTTACTTGTGTGGGTCGTCCACTTGCACTTCTCCCATGGGTATCTACTATGCAACAAAAGTTGGGCTATTAGGCCTAAAATTTATAATATATCAAAGAGTAATTTACTTAAATAGAACTAAAACATAATGACTTTCTCAGTATAGGACTATATGTTTTTTTGGGTTGCATGTCTTTAAGAAATTATTCGTCTAACAATAATTATTGAGTACAAATCATCTCAACTTTTAAATTCTCATTCGTCTCTTTAATACACAGCTTTCATTATTATCTTTTTTGAAAAAGCAAATCTAGCTACATTTTGAATCCCTTTACATGAATTGCATAACTTTCTTCAAACTTGTATTCTCCATCCTCACAATTGAAGTCTCCTTTTTTATCTCTGTTCATCTTCGTCTTCAGGATTTTACTTCCCAACAAAAAGTATTCCTATAGCAACCTTCAAAAGAGTAATCTCACATTGGTGGCTTTATGTTTTATACAACTGTACAGATGATAATGATCTGTTTCGCATAAATAATTAGAGAGTATTATCTATACATGTCTATGTAAAGCATGAGATCACTCAAGGATACTAGGACTACATGACTTTATCCTTTGAGAGTATATTAGGCAAGATTAGCCAATAAATTGAAGTGAAATTTGCACTAAATAGGACTAAAACATAATGACTTTCTTAATGTAAGACTTAAACTTTATTATTCCCTAAATAGGACTTAATAATGACCTAATGGAAGAAATAATATCCAGCAATGATGGACATTTAGTTGAATAATGACTACTTGATAATGACCAAAGGTCCTACATTAGAAAATAAAAATATATGTTCCTATATTGGAAAAGTCATTATGTTTTAGTCCTATTTAGATAAATTTCTCTAAATTGAAATTTATGGGGTAAAAAAACTAAACCAAAAGGCAGACGACCCAAACAAACTGATTACTGGAGTAATACGGATTAATCAAATTTTCAGTAAATCCGGTATCAGTTGTTGCCCCCTATATTTCCGATCGATCTTTCCCTGCCAAACCCAATCTGAAACCTGAGTCACTCACTCCTGGAAAAGAAACAAAGAAGAAGAAAAGGAGAAAAACAGCGAGTGGGATTTTCAATAACTTTGGTTTTTAACAAGACACAAACTTGGTTTCCTGCTCCCCCCATCTCTGCTGTGAGGCTCAATCTCGGATCAGGCCGTGTTACACTGCCCGGAGTTCTTAGGGTTTGGCCTTTGAAAAGATGGCTCAATCGAGCGGCAGAGGAGGCGGAACTGGGAGGTTCGCGGTGGGTGAGTATTTGGTTGGGAAGCAGATAGGGACCGGGTCGTACTCGACGGTGTGGCTTGCGCGACACCGAGTCCACGGCACCGAGGTGGCCATCAAGGAGATCGTCACAGCTCGGCTCAACTCCAAACTCAAAGAGAGTCTCATGTCCGAGATTGTTATTCTCCAGAAGATCAATCACCCCAACATCATCCACTTGCACGACATGATACAGGTCCGTCTGATGATCTTTTCCCCCACTCGATTCCGTTTCTCACTCCCCCAAAGATTGTATTTTTATGGGTTTTCGGAACAAAATCATTTGTTTGTCGTAAACCTGTGAATAAGGGTATATGCAGTTTTGGTTGCTCGGTATATTGATCAAGCAGAAATAGCTGTTGGCATCCAGAAAATGACTTATCTGCAGTTGGAATTTGAGAATATGTGGAGTTGAAGTGAATTTCCTTCCCTTAGATGTTCCTGCTCTACTTTGCTTTGTACAACAGAGTACTTAACACTATGTTCTTGTCAACTAAAACTTACCAAATTGAATTGAAGCGATTTGAAACTTAGTTATAATTGGTAAATAACAGTATTAAACTGAAGTTTCTGAACAGAAAGTAAGTCCAAAAGAAAAGACTTTATGGGAAAGAAATGACATATTTGTGGTTTTAAATCAAGATTACTGAAGTTTCTGAACAGAAAGTAAGTCCAAAAGAAAAGACTTTATGGGAAAGAAATGACATATTTGTGGTTTTAAATCAAGATTTTTTAGTTGTACTTTTTTCACTGATAATTGATAAATCCTGTCACCAAATCATCCATCGGATCTCATATTTCTGTTTAAGATAAATGATTGTGCACTCGAGTTTTTGTTAAAAGGTTCAAACAACATTTATTGCTATGAGTTACTTTTGTTTTGATTAATCTGACATGTCCTGGGATATAGGATTCAGGAAAGGTTTATATAGTGTTGGAGTACTGTCGAGGGGGTGATCTTTCTATGTACATCCAACAACGCAATGGGAGAATTCCAGAAGCAACTGCAAAACATTTTATGCAGCAGCTAGGTAATTTGTAGATTTTTTTTGTTTATCTTTTCTTTGGATAATTTCATAATTTTGAACATGATAATTTGATTTTCACATCCATGACACAGCATCGGGCCTTAAAGTTCTTCGCGAAAACAACTTGATACACCGGGACCTTAAACCACAGGTTTGCTTTTACATCTAACATGGATTAATGATTTTGGTACATAAAAGGAATATATCCATTTGAAGAAAAAGTTGGTAGTTCATGTGATTATTATTTGATTCTAGTGAAGATATCATTTTCCTTTAATGACTAAGGAGAATGAGCAATATCTTTGAAAATGTCGTAATATACGGACACTAATTTGTATGTTTGCATGCAACTCAATTGTTGTTAGTTGTCAAAGGTATATGAAAAGGGAAGTTTTCCCGTAAAGAAGGATTATTTCATTAGGCAAGCAGAAGTGATTGGTGTTCTTGTTGCAAGTGGCGAATTCTAAGTAACACATGTGATCATTTCTGGAACAGAATCTGCTCTTGTCAGTAAACAACGACAATGCTGTTTTGAAGATTGCTGATTTTGGATTTGCAAGGTGAACTCTTTATCTCACCTAATTTGTCTAATTCCACTCTTTAACTTAATAAATGAATAGTCTTGTACTCTCGCATATTTTTTTCCTAAAAGTAGAGGACATTGGATAAGCTAACTAGAAAAATGCTTTCATATTCAGTTTGCTCTATTCTTTTATAGCATAGGTTTGTATTTTCCCTTTAAAGAACGTGATAAAAGCTTTTTATTGGATAAAGGAAATACAGAGCTTTTGTATTGCTCACATTATCATGATTGTAGCCTATCCCTAAACAGGCTTTTCTTACTAAGAAATTTGTGTTGTTCTTTCCCCTGGAATTCCTGTCAGAATCCCTCTTGGCCTCTCTCAAATACTAAAAATGAGTTTCTTTGAAGTTTCATTTATCTAATTAATCTAGAAACTTTCTAGACCGTTAACTTTCTGTCTCCATGACATCTCATATGCCATTTATAAAGTTGCTTAAAAGATTGTATCTTCTTTTTACCAGGTCTTTGCAACCTAGGGGCCTCGCAGAGACCTTATGTGGTTCACCACTATACATGGCTCCTGAAATTATGCAACTTCAGAAGTATGACGCAAAGGTGAAATTCACCCATTGCAAACTTTAAATTCATGTTCTTCTTGATCTTTTATTAACATTGAGCCACAAACACAGGCAGATCTCTGGAGTGTTGGTGCCATTCTATTTCAGCTTGTAACTGGTAGAACCCCATTCATAGGAAACAATCAAATACAGGTATGAGTAATCTACTTTGTGTCTTCGTCTCATTAAAATGTACTAAACTCCCTTGCTTTTTAATGTGAATATATGGGGTAAATTTTTAATGCCCGACTATCTTGTTCTAAATGTTTTCTTGCAGTTGCTTCAGAACATAGTAAAATCAAGTGAATTGCAATTCCCTTCAAATGCAAAGAATTTGAGTGATGAGTGCATAGATTTATGTAAAAAGTTATTGCGCCGTAATCCAGGTTGGCCAACCAGCATTTTGTGATTTCAGCAGACTATTGGCAGCAAGTCATTCACTTATTTCATTCATTTTACAGTATGAGATGAAATCTCTTGCTGATCCACACTTCCATACCAACAAAAAAAATCCTTTCGTCCCTTAATAAACTTCACATATCGATTTGCGAGATGTTTGACCAAAATTATTTTAAATGCAATTGACAAGACCATTTTTTTGAAACAAATGATTCAAGTGAGTTAACAAGGATGATATAGTTTGACCCTCTCGACAGTGACTGAGGAGTTTATATAGAGATGGAGGAAGTAGTAATAGTGATAATAGTAAACAATTGTAATAATAATGATAATAATAATAATAACAATAATAATAATAATAATAATAATAATAATCAAGTTCAGTAGTTCTGTGGTGATAATTTTTTTTTTAAAAAAAAATACTTGCTCTGGGCCCAAAAAAACCTCTTTATTTTTAGTCAACTCTATCAAGGTACAAGCTTTTACAAGTCATGATTGGTCACGTATATGTATATCCCTAAAACTAATTTCCAAGATTGTTTGGAGTAATTGACTAACCTGCTTGTAGATTGGCTTTACACAATTCTTTCTTGAAATGGAAAGCTAGCTTTTAAACCGAACTCTTTTTTGGGATAAAAGTTCTCGAAACATGAATCTTTTTTTGGGGATAGAGTACTACTACACTTCCAGCCCGTTGTAATTATTTTCTTGTTGTAGTGGAGCGGTTGACATTTGAAGAGTTCTTTAACCACCAATTTCTTGCAAAAAGGAAACCAGATGAACTATCTAGGTAAATGAGGTGATAAGTTTTTTCAGTTCTTCGTATCGTGAGAAATAAGATTCTATTCCTTCAACAAACTATGAAATTCATTATGGTACACAGGATTTGGAAACCACAGAGGAAGATAGATGGGTTTCCCCTGTCAGGATCTAGCCGTGCAAATGCAGATGAAAGTCAAGAAGATTGTCTACCCTTCAAGCTTGATGATGATTCGTGTGGTACTGATGTCAATCAATCTTATTCAGGGAGATTACAACAAAAATCTCCATTTAATTATTCTACTGATTCTAAAGGTTATAGAAGGGATGCTTTCAATGTTCCATGTTTACCGGATCCAACCTTCAATGCCATTGATGGCCCATGCATACAAGATTCCACTGCACGTAGTGCTGGCAGCCATTACCTTTCAGAAGGAAACTTGAAAGAATCTCATAACTCCACTGAACATAGACAAACAGTCACTAATAAGGAAGGTGCTCACTCTTGCAATAATATAAATCAATAATTTTTTAATTTTCTTTTATTTAGATCTAAATAGCTGCAAATATTCAAATATCACATTTCACATTTAGAGCTTGTTTGCTGGACTATAGTTTTTCCTCATCGGCCAGTTTTTTCTTCCGAACACTAAGGGGCTGTTTGGCAACTTCTGAATCGGTAAGTGCTGAATCAGTAAGAGGTCTGAACCATTAAGTGCTGAACCAGTAAGAGGTCTGAACCATTAAGAGCTAGTATATTGCTTAACTATTCAGAGGCAAATGTCTGATCAATTCAGATAAGAGGTCTTAACCATTCAGACTCTGTATAATACTTAACCATTCAGAGGCAAATCTCTTAACCATTCAGACATTTGAACCATTAAGAGGCTGAAACAAACAGTCTGAACCATTAAGTGATGAACCATTCAGACATCTGAACCATTAAGAGGCTGAAACAAACAGCCCCTAACTATTGTCTCTGCACTAAGTGAATCTGATGATAATGAAAAAAGTAGTGCATGAGTTACTTTTTTATGAAATTGATGCTTTTAGATTTATTTTTAGATATCATTTTCTTTATATATATATATATATATATATATATATATATATATATTCTTTGGATAATTCTATAGGTTTAGCCATTTCAGCCACAACATTAGAACTTTCTGCAAATTAAATTCAGCCATGTCAGCTATATTAAGTTTTAGAGGTTCTATTTTTGTTTAAATTGACACTGGTAGAGACCTATTTTCAGCTTTTCTGATAATTGTCATACTCACATGGATTAACAAGCAGTGACGAATTCGCTGGAGTTGATTGATCAAGGTTATGTCTTTGTTTCTGGGCCCCCATTGGATTCATCATCATCTGCCGGTGCCTCTATGCATACAAATAATAGCATGCCAATGATGTCAGGACAAGCTGCAGGGAATGTGCACTCTAGACCAAGTGCCCCGGTTCCCATTATCGGTTCTGCAATCAATAAAGTAGGTTGTGTAGGAAGTGTGGATAGCCACACATCTGCCCATGGTACATCACAAGGATCAGCGGATATAGCAGACACATTGGAGCAACCATCAAGTGATTGCCTAAGGAGGATTGAGTCATTGCAGCATTGCGCTAGTGCTATAACTGAATTAGTAAATGAGAAGGTAAGTCACCGATCAGCACTATGTTTAGGAAGTAACATTCTATGGATTATGTATTTTGTCTTATGGGCATAGTCTGGTGATTAACAATTACGGACTACTTGTTTTTGTTATAATGCATCCAATTAGTGTTGTATAGTGACTATAGTCAGCAGTAACACTTTTTTATATTGATTTTTACTTTGAAAATACACTAACCTTTAAGCCCTTTAGAAAAAAAATTATTAAGCTATTTGAAACTTCAACGAAAATAATTTGATCTTTCTATATGTTAGTTGAAAGTGGTCATATAATATTTAATATCTTATGCTTCATTTTTAAAAGTCTGAGGCAGGCATATATCTGGAAGCGTTTTCAATTCAGCTTGTCGTTCTTGCAATATGGAAGCAAGCCTTGCACATATGTCATGCTCAAGCAGCGTCAGCAATTGAAGGAAGCCCAACCCAACATGTTGCTAAACTGGGTCAAGGACTTGTCAATGTGCACAAGCCGGTTGATGCTTTCTCTAACACTTTGGTGCCACAGGATATCTGTTTTCATATAGAAAAATCATTTCTAAGTGAAGTTCAGAATGCGGATGAGCTTTCCAAATTTGTTGAGCCCGGTATATCTTTATTGTTTCTACACTCCATTTGCAGCTACATGTCTTTCTCTTTGTCGCACCCTTGGTCCAAAAGTAGGTCATGTGTGAGTTGTGACCAACACACGACTTTATAATGTTGATAAGATATATGGAGTATTTGCTTTGTTGAGCTTCTGGAATTGCTTTGTTTGATCAAAATGGGTTTTTTCTTTTCTACACAAACAAATGTGTCTGAAACCACATGCTTTTTTTGTAAGGTGCAAGTAATTTTCTTCTTAAATCTTGTCGCGTTTTACTCTTTATTTATTTGCACCTGTTGCTTAAAAATGGAAGTTCAGGTAATACGGATGTGCCAGATGCAATGGAGATAATATTCCAATCTGCGCTAGAAATGGGAAGGAAAGGGGCAGTAAGTGAAGTGTTTACATTTGCTCGTTTTGTTGCATGCGACCTAAATAGTTCTCTTCCAAATCCCCAAACAGTTGCTTGAGTTGTTTTCTACTTGTTGGAATTGGGCAGGTTGACGAGTACATGGGCCGAACAGAAAATGCAGTGTTGTTTTATTCAAAGGCAGTGCAGTTGCTAACGTTCCTTCAAGTTGAAGCATCGTCTCTCATTCTTAGCCCACCATTCAACCTCACTAACACAGACCGGTATAGGCTCCGGAGTTATATAGATGTCCTTAAAAACAGGCAAAGCGTTTCAAGGTCTCAAATCATGGCTCTCCTCAACATTGAAGAAGACAAGGTCTCAACCAACTCTGACTAGCCTCCAAATCATGCCATTTTATACTCTTCAAAATGTAAGAAGTATTTGTTGTGTACAGTTAATTCTTTAATTTTGTGCAGTTCTTCTATCATGGTTAACCTATGATTCAAGAATCTAACATCACTAAACTACCCTGCCTGCAATCCATCATCAAAGAAAGCTTGAGGTTGCGCCCACCCATTGTATTTCTTCTGCATCGTAAGGCAAACACAAATGTTGAACTGTACAACTATGTGTTGTCCAAAAATTCCCAAGTCCTAGTAAACTTAATGGGCCGTGGGGCGAGATCTTAAGGTTTGTGAAAACTCCGAAATATTTTCTCTTGATAAGTTTTTTGACAAGGAAATCGATGTCAAAGATAGGTAGGGATTTCGAGATCCAAAGGGTAAGAGCTCAAAATCCCTACCTTTGACATCAATTTCCTTGTCCAAAAACCTCTCGGTACAAAATATTTCAGGGTTTTCCCACACCTTAGGATCTCGTCCTATCCTATAAGTTTACTAGGACTTGGAAATTTTTGGGCACCACATAGTTGTACTGTTCAACATCTATGTTTGCCTTACGAGGCAGAAGAAATACAGTGGACGGGTGCAACATCATCAGGTTTACTTTGATGATGGATTGCACGTATGGTAGTTTAGAGATGTCATATTCTGAAACTAGGATCCATTTGAATCCTCTCCTCCTGATTAACCTTAAATTCTCATCTCCTAGATGTCTTTTAAGTAATCTATTTGGCCTTTAAAATTTGGGAAGCATCAATGGCATGTAATTAGATAGGACTAAACACCAAAAATGGCATCAAAGTTGATATCAGTATTCTCTCACATATAATAATTGCTCACCTTACCAACAATAAATGTCTATGAAAAATAGTTTGTTGGTATCAACTTTAGTCTTTTAGTAGCATTATTGAATTAGATATCTTTGGAGGTTACAAAGTATAATCTACTCTGTATTAAAGTTGCTAATTACTCTTAAAGTATATTGCCAAAAGACATAAAATGTATGAATTATAAAACTATTTTTCATCACAGATATAACAATATAAAAATTAAATATTTTCTCACTATTTTTCTCAATATAAAAATCCATTTATTCGTCTCATAAAATGTGAATATAAAAGAGTGACAAACTAAGAAAAAAGACATTATGTATTACTTGATACAGATGTTAAATTAAATATATATTTAGTCTTAAAATAGGAGATTTTTGTTTTTGGTCTTTGTACAAAAAAATGTTATGTCATCCTTACAAAATTTTGTTTTAAAAATGGTCTTTAAAAATAATTAAGACTTCCAATTTATTGATATTTTACATTTATTTCGTTCTTAACAGTTAATTTTAGTGTTTTGAAAAAATTGTCTAATGATAGTGCTTAACTTAGCTTTTTTTTGTGTATGCCACTAGGTACATGAGTTTTTTTGGGTCTGTCTTATGATCTGGATATGTCTAACTAATTCTCCATTGCTTTGATAGGCATGAGAGCTGATACAAACAAAATTTTCACCTATAAAAATTAACTTTAGATTCCCCTCACCATAAAAACTGTAGTATTTTGTTACTTGAGGTATTCCTTTGGGTTAGATTCTAATTTTTTACAACAATGAAGTTTTCAAAATCCTAAGTCAAATTAGGAACTACCTTTAGGAAGGATGGAGTGAGTGAAGATGGACTAGCTTATTCAATTAAAGCTATGAGGATTATTAAATGACGGGCTTAAATTGGCCAAGTCGCACAAAAAGTTATTACAAATAATAGAACCCTCACACTACCGCTATCGGGATTCGACTCTAGGATCAATGGGTTTGACATCCTCTCCTTTGATCAGTTGAACTACCCATCATGTTGAAGTTCTCACATCAGAAAATAAAGAAGAATACCACTAGTATATATAGAAAAGTGAAATTCTGCCTATTAGCTTATGTTTTTGGGCTAGAATAGTAGATCCCGACTTTATATGCAAGCGGTTAATTTACCCAACACTCTATCCGTTATTTTCAGTCTGCTAGAATTTTTAACATGGTATCGGAGCGGGTTCAGTCTGGGTTTGATTGTTCCTGGTTGTTTGGATGTGGGTTTAGCAAAATGAGCTACCCGTCCGTGGTTTGGGTTGAATTGGCTTTAAGAGAATGAGAAGTCACCGCCCGTTGTGTGGGCTAGCTAAAAGAAATTGAAATGCTAGACCCGTTTTTTGAAGTGATAATTAGACCAGGCTAGATACCACTTGAAGGAGAGTGTTAAAGTTCCCACATCAGAAAATAAAAAAGAGTTCCACTAGTATATATAAAAAGGTAAAGCCCTACCTATCAACTTAAGCTTTTTGGTTAGAATATTGGATCCCGACTTTATATGCAAGTGGTTAATTTTATTTGACACTCTACCTGTTAATCTCGGCAAGCCGGAATTTTAACACATCCTTCTATATAAAAGAGTATTATATAGAAGATATGGTTGGTGAAGAATTATGATATGTAATGATTACAACGGGCTGCCTCACCCCGAATACATACAAGGAGAGTGCTAAGAGCACTGGAAATGGTCTTGAAGCCCCGGGGCTTTAAACTTTCTCTCTGCCACATCAGCTTTAACTTACCTCACCAATTTACTGGAAATGGATTTGAAGCCCCGGGGCTTCAAACTTTCATTTTTTACATTTTAAATACACATCTTCTAAAATTAAATTAATAAAATTTAATTATTTAATTTTATTAATTAAAAAAATTACATTCATGAACAACAAATACATTCATTAATTTAAAAAATTACATTCGTTCATTATAAAAATTGCATTCATTAATTAAAAAATTTACATTCATTAAATAAAAGATTACATTCATTAATAAAAAAAATTATATTCATTAAATAAAAAAGTACACGGTGCGATAACGGAAAAGGGGGCGGCGGGCTCCAACATCAAAATTTTGGCCTGAAATTTGCGTCAAAAGTTTGACGCTGCAAAAATAACGCCACTATAACGGGAAAGGGGGATGGTGTTTAATGCCCCCCAGGCGTCAAAAGCATCATAACGCCACTAGGCGTTAGATGTATTACCAGTGACCTAAGTATCGTATGAATAATAACAAAGGAAATCATATACAAAAAGTTGCTACCATATATGTATAAATAATAAATATATACAGAATATATTCAATATGCTCCCAACTACGCTATCGGTGACGAGCGTACACCAAGTTTGTCTCCAAAATAAACAAATAGAAAAGGCGGGAGTTCCACATGGAGCATATGAAGTGCTCCATTTGTTCCAAAATATTTACCATATTACGTAAATGTAACCAAATTTTTAGGTTAAAATTTATATATTTAAGAACTGAGTAATGCTAGACTCACAAATATCTTAGACACAAATTATACAAACTTGCTATTTGTGCACTTTCCCAAGTGAATAAAATAATTTTAAATCATTTAAAAATAAATATTTGATTACACAAATAGCAAGTTTGTGAAGTTTGTGTCCAAATTGTTTGTGATTCTAGCATTACTCTTAAAAACTATGTCAAAAGTTTATCACTCTGCTTAATATCACCCAGCAACATCTCCAGCTTAATATAATTAATTAACTACCCATTTGGTTTCAAAAAAAGTTTTTTTTTTAAAACAAGAAGTGCCAATTATATCTTATTTTATCAAATAATCGATGTGTACCATGAACAAAAAAAATTTTGTGATTTTTAAATAGCAATTTGGGTCATTTTTTTCGACGGGAGGAGTAATATTTTACCCCTCTAGAGTGACAGACGACATGGTGATATGTAATACGTATTTTCAAAATGAAATAGCATGACTAACATTGCTATTTTAGAACCATACACGCAACAAAAATATTACGGAATAGAGTACAAAAATACTCCCTCTATACGACATAAGTGATTTTTTTTCAAAAGGCTCAATTCTTTTACATCATCAATGCACTAAGGTTCATAAAATGATAAAGGAACTTAGGACTATAGAAAAATCTGTTTTACCTAAAATGAAGTGAAATTTCAAGTTTTTAAATTTATTTTATCTAAAGATTGGTATAGAAATAAAAAAAATAAAATTTACATATGTGATAAGAATATTTTATTTTATTAAATAATCAATCAAAACGCACAAATAAACAAAACTTTTCATGACTTTTGAATAATGAAGAGTAATTCTTTTTAGATGGAGGAAGTATTAGGGAGTATTGTATTAGAAAAAATAGTGAGATAACAAAAATAATAGAAAAAATAGTCAATAATAAGGGAATGAAAGAGTACTTAGTAGTTTTGGAGAAATAAGCTAAAAAACACTTTGACAACACGAGGTGAAGGATGATATAATTTGATAATAATTGATCTTCTTGAACAATAATGAATATTTCACTAGAATTTATGCAAGGGATCCCTAACTAAAGTAGGTATACACCATATGGTAATAAACATAATATAAAATCTAATAATAATATCTCCTATTATATATTCCTGTGAAAGTTAATCAACAGTAACGAGGGGTAGCTTGGAGCCTAAGTACAGAAACAGAGCCAACGAAAATTGTTTTGTGAAAAATATCGGCTAAAAGTAGAGAGAGATCTTTGTCACGTGTCGGTCGATGTGTTAGACCGTCAAGGGCTTATAGCAACAAGGAGACATTTTCGAATCTAGATGTCAATCTTATACCAAGAAGAATCGTATCAATTGGTGCTTTCAATGAGAGGCACTCTCAAGAAAAATTACAGACAAAAAAAAGTATTACCGATCCCAGAAGAAGAGAAGAGAGAAAGATAGAAAACTTTGAGCATTTCTGGGCTCCGAAGAAAAGAAAGAAAAGAGAGATTAGGGTTTATGATATTCTTATTGTTTGAATAATGATGTTACGGGGTTACAATATATAAAGATCAGAGGAGAGAAAAGCATAATTGACCTAATTCTAATAATCACACATATTAATATAGTCAAATTTTATTACCTGTTCATTATTAATATAGTCGAATTTTATTCACTTTCATAACAATTTTTGTTTGTTATTTGATAAAAATATAGTCATATCACTACTTGTTTTGGATGGCTTTTAATGTAGTTTTTAAATATGTAAGTTTCATTTTTTAATTCTACCCCAAATCTCATATAAATTGATTTGAAAATAATTTCAATCAAATATCATAAACCGAAATCAACACTTTAAAATAAGTGGGGTGAGTATTAAAGAACATATTCCATCCGTTTTTAAAAATATGGGAGGTTTTGATTTTTATAGGATTTAATGAGAGTGTATTTTGGTGTTGAGTTTCTAAAAATGTCCTAGGATGTAATGGGTAAAAATTGGATTTGATAGATAGATTAATAGTGAATAGATTTGATGTGATAGATATTTAAGAACTAGTAGAGGTAAAAGTGATTTTTTAATAGAAATGAAAAAAGTTTTTTTAAACGGATGAAAAAAAAGAAAGGAAAAAAAGTTTTCAGCCAGAGGGAGCAAACAAATAAAAAAAAGATGAATATGTGGATAGTGAGAAAAATAGTGGTTGGGCACTAGAGCATTCATGTCCTATACTCCTATGTGATGGTAAGGCTAGAGAGAAAATCCCTTATTTCTTAATTTAGTGAGGCACACACAATAAATTAGGACATGGCTAAAATAGAAACATGGACAAGCAATTCAAACAAATTGACCATAAAGTCTATACATGGATTCGCAAGAAATAAAATGGAGACGGAGTAACTCTATTCTAAAGTTTCAAAATGACAAACATATCATATTACGTTCATTCAATATTTTAGGAATCTCTGAGATGTACTTAGATTAGATAATAGTCTGGAATGAATAAATTAAATTTTAATTTTAGATTGATCAATAAAAATTGTAATCTCTCAGTATTACATACAAGAACTAAATATATGGTCCAATAAGGTTAATGATGTGTGAGTTGTGAGAGTGATTAAAGTCGATGTAAAAAGTGGCAATTAATATGCGAGTGCTAAACAACTTAATTAAAAACTCGGCACGATTTGTCAAGTCTTTTGTTTCCGTATGAGGGGAAGATGGAATTGAACGTTGGAAAGTGATAGGGAGGATTTGACGTACGGAGGTCAAAATGAAATGGATTGTTAATTGTAATGGTACCACCCCACCCAAAATATGCCATAATTCAGTGTTAATTTTGGCTTTTGGTGTTTGGCAAATCTGGTGTGCACCACATGCAAAAGCGAGGCGAATCCACTTGACCATGACATTCATGCCTACCCAATTAATGAATGCAATCACTAATGCCCCCAAAATCTTCTTTATTTCCACCTTATCTCATCTCTAGCAAATATTTGTATAATTGTATCTTACCAAAAAATTTAATGGATTGAGTACATAATAATAGAATTATTATTGTTCAAAAATAATAATAATAATTGTACACCTATGTATAAGTGTAAACATCAGTCCATAATCGAGCTGGGAAAGATGGAATTATCGAAACAAAAAAAAAGTAAAAAAAATCGGAAGGTGGGAGAGGGTTGGACAAGATTATATTCGAACATGCAATCTTCTGGTCATGAGCTTGATGAGTTGACTAATTCCTCTACCCCATATACGGCATAACAAACTTGAAAATTTCTAGTCTTCACCAGATCGGTTTTTTAGTTAGGCCAAGTTTTAAACGAGAAAAAATTTTTCCACTTTCATTTCTGCATGCACACCATCCAATGCACTTCTTTAATCCATTTTATCTTGTAATTTGTATATTAAAAAATTATAGAAATTATATATTAATAATCTATATGTTAAGACAAATCAAACAAGATCACGCATGACTATATTTAGGCTTACACATTGAGAGAATTTAATGAGTCAAAGTACTTAGATGAACAGTTCCAAAAGTCAAAAGTGGACAAACAAAGCGGGACGGAGGTAGTATAAGGTACATATGGTACAATTGGTGGCAATTTTGAACATTTTCCAACTATTTACCTCTCTCAAATGAGTATTGTGTTTCTCACAAATGAGTATTCAAGAGATGTACAACTCATACAAAGAATATACGGAAATGAGTATTGTTTTACTCGCAAATGAGTATTTAATGTACAATCTATAGGGTGTTTCTCCAACAATACTCATTTAAGAGTAATAGAATGTTTTTTTGCATAATCTTTATTAAATTGGGTTTTAATTTTTATTTTTTTTTAATTTTTTTCTCAAATTCTTTAACTCGTTTTCAACAATTTTAATTTTTAGTATGATTCACCCAGATTTTTGTACTTTCAATCCGTTGGCCATTTTCATAAATAATATTGGTATAAAAGTATTTCCATAATTGTTAGCAGATTGATTAAATTTTGGTGTTTAATGAGACTAATGTTGTACTCGTAATTAGATTAAAGTAATAACTTATTTAATACAAATATGGTATTTATAAATTACTACTCCAATCTAATCACGAGAGCTCAATTCAACAACATTGACCTCATTAATATCAAGCCCTAATATATACCCCGTAGTATAATCTATTTTACAATATAGAGTATTGCCTTCAGAATAAGATCATATTTATTTAAGTTTATAAAAATTAAAAATCAGATTTACGTCCACGCCGTAGACATCTTTGGTTTAAATCCCCTATCCTTCTTCAATAATGAATCATTATAATAGTGCTTCTCACATGGAACTCTCTCTTCTCCACACGAGCAACTCCAATATATGTATCAACTCTCGTTATAGCTTGTGAATAGAAGTGGAATGTTCTTGTAGGATTGACAATTTGTCTCCACCTTCTCTTCCATACTTTCCCTTTTATAATGGATACAAATCTAAAATTGGATTCCTAATAATACTTCCTCTATATCACAAAATATTTCTTATTTTTAATTTTTAAAGGATTTAAGAAAAGTTTATTTTGGTGTTGATTTTTCAAAAATGTTCTTGGATGTGATAGGTAATAGTAGATGTGATTGGTAGATTAGTAGTTAAAAAGTGTGATGTGATAGATATGTTAAGAATTAGTATGGGCAAAAGTGACTTTTTAATAGAAATAAAAAAAATTTGGGACAGATGATAAAAGAAAGGAGAAATATCTTGTGGGACGGAGGGTGTATTTAATTCTAAGATTAAAGAAATTGCCTTATTGAAATAGATTACGAGATTATAATTAAAATAAATCAATGCTAAGTTTACAAACAAAACTGTCATAAACTTTACAAACTTATCCTCTCAGATGTGAATTCTCATTTTAAAATTATTTTAGGCTATTTCATTAGTTTATTTTAATTTTTTGTTTAAGTTCACAAATAGTAAGTTTGTGAAATTTGTGATGATTTTGTTTGTAAACCAAGCATTTCCCATTAAAATATTCAATATCTTTTCATATCTTTATAACTAACAATTTTTATTATTAAAGTTTTCAATATCTTTTCATATCTTTATAAAAGGAGGATCTCATAGAGTTGTGGTAAACGGCATAGGATGATGTTCTCGCATGTATGAGACGCACGTATGAGACACACGAATGAGGAGGAGCCACACGTATGAGGAGGAGTCGCTACGTGAATAACCTAAGTTTAATCAAATAACTAAAAGTAATTAAAAATAGTAGAATATAATAAAAGGTAGATGGTATGCTTGGAAGGTATTGATACTATAAATAGCTAAATTTGTATAAAAGAATAAGGAGTGCTATATGCGTAATATCGAGTGACTTAGAGTGCTACGTAGGGTGATTTCTTTTTTGGTAATATACATGACCATGTTTGGTAATGTAAATGTATTTTAAGTCCTATTTCGGGAATAAAAACATGGAAGTCCTATTTTGGTATATTTTTAATGTTTTAGTCATATTTTGATCTATCTCCCTAATAAAATATAGTGAATAATATATATAAAAAATAGGAGTATAATGACACATTCATAAAAGCAATTTCCTAAAATAGGTAATTTTAAAAAATTGAACCCAAAAAAAAAAAAGTGAGAATAAGATTATTGGGCTAGGGAGTATACTCGTGTTTGCTCTATTCCGTATTACTCTTGTCTCAATTTAAATTTTTCTGTTTCAGTATATGATATTTTACTGAAGTCATTTTTAATTTATTTTTTATGAAAAATGGTGTATAATTAAAAAATAAAAATTATATACTCCCTTCATCCTATTTTATATTGCTCGTTTTGACTTTGAGGCATATTTAAGGAATGGAAAAAATGGTTTTGACTTTTCAAAAATACCTTACTTTTTACGGGAGTGGCGATGGATGAGAATATAAGGTGGAGAGTGACTTATTTTAGGGATAGTTTAGATATTTTACCCTTAAAAGTTTATTATTATAAGAAATATGCAACCTATTTTGAGACAGACAAAAAAAGAAAACATATAATTTAAAATGACACGGAATGAGTATTTAAGAACTAAATAAAAAATTCTACAAAACTAGTGGTGACATAATATTCTTTTTATCAAAAGACTAACAAAAATAGAAAAATAAACTGAATAAAGTTTTTCCTATAAATAATATACATGTAATTTAATTTAGGACGGGTGAAATATTTTAAAGGATTATATTCATATTTTCACCTAATTTTGTTAAATTAACACTCATTAACAGAAACTTGATATTGGTGTAAATTCAGTAAAAAGTGTAATAATAGATACTGCATGATAATAGAGTAATTAGAGTGTTTCTTTGGTGCACTCTACGTGCGTACTATTTTTGTGGACCTTTTTACATAAAAAAGAACTTTTTTTATTTTTTAATTAAAAAAATAGATGCGTATTTAAATAATAAGGAAATGTCTATTTTGCTCAGTCCATGGACTTAAGGTTCATTATAGAATTTGTCAAGTCATTAACATAAAAAAATGTACATATTACGATGGTTTTAAATTAAATACGGAGTAAATATTTTTAAATTAAATAGGGAGTATTTGAAAATCGTTATTTTGGTAGTGTACGGAGTAGTCCGTATCATTAGTCAACCTTGATCCAATCATTCGCTTAATTATACATTTATGTTAAGTCATTAAAGAGTTGTGACATTTTGGGTTTTAGATCTACAAGTAAAATGTGAAATTTCTCCCATATATTTTGTATAGTAAAGTGTCATATTATCACAGTGCAAAGTCTTATTTCGAGAAAAAAATATGAAAATTTTATTTTGATAATATTTTCTATATTTTAGTTTTATTTAGGGTGATTTCTAATTTTATTATAGTGAATCAATAATAATATCAAATCGATTTTATTATCTTATCTTAATTTCAGAGTCAAATCAAATAGATAAAGAAATTTCTAAAGGAAGAGAGCAATTATTTTGGAAAATGCTAGGGGTACACCAAAAGTGTACCCCAAACATCCCCCACCCCTCCATCACCACAAAAAAAAAGCAAGAAAAATTCAAAAAAAAATTAAAAATAAAAACAAAATAAAATGAATGGTAAAAAGGGGAGTGGTGTACATTTGGAATACACATTTAGTGTACGCCTAGCATATCCTATTAATTTTGTAGGCCTAATCCCCCAAAAAAATGCGTGCACATAATTTCATTATTCGATATTACAGTACATTCCTACAGCAAGAGCAAGTTCCAAGAACACCCTTAAAAAAACTGTATACCCACTGCAACGATACATCATTCATTCAATACAAGCAAATCAATCATTATGAATCGACATAGGAGGAGGGAGAAGAGGGGTAGGTTGGGTATTTCATTCACTCATTCATCACATGAGTACTACTGACTCTCTACTGTATATGATCTCAGTTCATTCATAAACCCCCTCTAAATTTAGTTGCCTGACCCAAACAAATCACCCAATCATGCCTCTCCCGTACTGAGAACTATGTGCATCAAAACCAGACACTACAAACCCTTGGCTACTCGTTGCGTCCAGACCGAACCGCTGGGCTGCATTCGCAGGGAACGAAGAGTCCGCCGGGCCCGACAAACCGAGCTCGTTGTTTTGATGGAGGCCCAACGTCAACGAGACGCCGCCGGCCGTGGTGGGCCCGAACCCAAGCCGAGACATGTTCCCGCCATACGAGGACGCCGACATCTCCATCGCCGCCGCCTCGTGGGCCCCGTCGCCTCTTCCCCCCATGGAATTGTTGTCGCCGTCGGCTTCGTCCCGCGTCCGCTTTGACGATAACAGAGTCTGTTGTTGGTGGTGGTGATGGTCTTGCACTTGATGATGGTGCATTGCCGAGCCGTTCGCGTCTTCGCACGGCACCGCGGTGTTGTTCCTCATGGAAGAATGCTCGCTTTGGTTCTTGTGACTTTGTTCCTTCTTTTGGGAGTTCTTTTGTGCTTGCCGCGTTTCGAGATTGTGTATCTCTTCCACCATTGGCTTCCAGAGCCTCACCCTCGCGTTGATGAACCAATTCGAGACCTGTTTCAGTATCATATTGTCAAGGAACCAACTCAAAAACTCGCAATCTCTAAGCCAACAAGACTTCAATATTATGTCAACCACAAGTCCAAATAGCAAACTAGCAACAAGACTAAGTTGTCCCCCCATATTTATTTCATGTTTCCTACCTAGCTTTAATATCAAAAAATCAATAAAGATACGGTACATTATTTTAGAACGATCGTAGTGAGAAAAGACGTATGTCGAGCAAAATGTGCATACCTGATTTCTCGAGAGGCCCGTCTGTTTAGCCAACATTAGCTTGTCTGTATCTGTGGGATAGCTGCAACAACACAACTTGTTTTAGGCAAATTCTAGAGGCGCATCACATATGACACCATTTTTGACACCATTGTGACTCACAAACACACACACAAAGGGCTAATAGAATGATAGGAGTACAAGACGCATGTACGTTAAATCCGGGGGGCTAAGACTTACGGGTGCAGAAAATGATCAAACAACCAAGCCCTAAGAACGGTCACTGCGCGTTCGGGCAACCCCCTTTGGGGACGCCAAACAGGCGGGTGCTCCATTAAGCCCATATTACGAGCCATTGCGCTCTGGAAGTTATAAAAACCTTTCCCGAGGTTATCCGCGGTCGGGGAAGCTTCCACCTCAAAATTGTTCATGTGGCCTTGCTGTGATTTGGCTGCAAATTGAAGCTGTTCAGTGATGGCGTCTTTCAGGCACCTGAAATGCTTGGACATGGCTTTCAGTGCCAAGTTTGCAAACGGAGCCGCGTTGTTCAATCCGGCAACCGACTCAAAAGAGGCAATTACGGCTTGCAGCTGTTGGTAATACTGCCTATACCTCCTGTACACCTATTTCCATTCCAACATTGAAGATATACTAATTACTTGCATGTACTGAAAACACACAAAAATATGCATAAATCTATTATTACTTGTATAAGCTATGCAATAATCCAAAAAACTACTCCAAGTTCACATTTAGATGGAACAAGATTAATTTCATAAATATAACTTATTAGTCTATCACTCTTAAAGTACAAAAACCTTGACTTTCGTGTTGAGCTAATTTAGAGACTTGTTGACTTAGAGGTCATAAGTTTGAATCTCACATGTTAAATACTTTTTTGTGTGACTAATATTATGATATTAGTATGTAGAAATACCTACTACATCCCATTTAATTAGATACAAATTCCGTCAAAATTATGTTCACTTTCATAATATAAATTTCACTAACTCTTGGTTTTCCCTCTTAATCCCTATTTTCTATCCTTCCGGATTGTAGGCGTGTTTTAAAACAACATGAATCTCCTTTACAAAAAGGATGACACTCTATCCCCAAGAGTCTCTCAGCACTGACCGAACAGTTAGCTGCTGAGAAAGAGGTAAATTGAACTATAATCTCAACCACCAGTCTTCGAACTTGGGATCTCTCCCTTGTACACCCTTATGCCAACGTGAATCTCCTTTACTTTCTAAAAAACCGTGTCTAACCCAACCGTATCTTACAACAACGCAAGAAGCAAACGATAAACCAAACATATACAGTACTCCACGATTAATTTTATAGAGAAAGACTGATAAATAGAAATAAACAAAATTATTAACAGAAATGAATTAAATTAAAGAAGAGACAAACAGTAGTTCTTCCAGTGAAGTAACATTTCTTCCCATAGTTGTGTGGGAAAGAAATTAATAAATTAATGTAATGAAACAGATTCCTAGAAACACTTCATTAAAAATTAAGAAAAAATAAACACCAAAATTAGTGGCATTTTTTCACCTGTAAGAACTTGTTAAAGTGTCAGACACTTTATCACACCGATCTTTGTGGATATATTCCTCCCAATCACCTTTTTCTCAAAAGATGATTTTTAATTAATGATCCATAAAAAACCTCAATAATAATTCCTTAAACACAAGCAAATATCAGCTACAGCTTGCATGGAATAAATGTGTAATAACAAATAAAGCACATCACACCATCTCCTCCAAATTGTTGCAACAATTATATTGGGCAAACTCAAAGGCACAAAATTACTTGTGTCTATGCAAAAATTGCATCAAATTACTGCCAAGAAGCTAGGTTTAATTTACAAGATGCATATATATAAAAGGATGAAAACCGGAAAGAATATAGAAATAAAAATTGTACCATACCTCATCAAGTATTGAAATTAATCTGGATTTCTTCCTCTTGAGCTCGCCGGCGCCATCATTAACAACACCTTGGGAATCATCAAGGTGGTGCAGAGTGGGAGGGGGTTCCATTAGAGCAGCTGCAGAATCATGAGCAGAAGATTCAAGTCTGGCATCATCATTAGCATCATCAACAGCATCATCATCATCATCACCATCAGGGGGGTAGATAGGGGTACCCCTGACCACATCACAGACCTCCTCCAGCAGCTGCTGTGCAGGCCTCAAGAATCTGCTGCTGGAGCCCTTAAGGATAGAGGCATAGCCCGTGAAAGGGCCACCACCCCCTGCAGGAGAGGGCACTGATGATGAACAGTAACCCCTTGATAAGTCACCATCACCCCCACCATGAATGCCAGCAGAAACACCCAAGGTCTGCTGCTGCTGCTGCTGCATTGAGGCGTCATATCTCTGCAGGTTTAGCTCCAGGGGCGGCAGCTGGCTACTGCTGCTGCTGCTTCGGTGAGCGTGATGATGTGATGACAAGGTCAAAGATAACCCTTGACCGGATCCTCCCGGCCCTCCTCCCACTGACATTGCCTCCCCGCCGCCGCCGCCGCCGGGAAAAGAATCGGCGTCAAGAAACCGGAGGTTCTGGGGTGCGAAAAGAAAAGGGTTTCTACTGAGTTCTTGATTCAGGTGTAATTGGGGATCCATGTACAGACTCGGGGCGTGGAAATTAGTGTCAAAGCTCGCGACTTTATCGGTTTTGTCGTGATCGGAGACCACCCCGAGCGGTTGCTGGTGGTGGTGGAGGAGGGCGGCGCACGATAGAAACTCGGAAGGGACGAGAGAAGGAGGCGGCGGTGGTGGGTCGTAGAGAGGAGGAGGAAACCCATCGTCTTGGTGGTGGTGGTGGTGGCTGTGAGCAGCTAAGACTCTAAGCTTATCCCTTCTGCTTTGCTGTGGGACATGAAATGCCTCAAATCCCTCAGCCATCACTCACTCAATCCCTCTCTCCCTATAAGCTAATAAGCTGATTAATAAAAGCTAAATAAAAAACCAAAAACTGAAAAGATTGAAAAATAAAATAAAAAAAGCAGTCTTTTATTTGCAACAAAAGAAATAAAGAAAGAAAGATTATGAGAGAGATGTTTCTGGCGCAGATGGGAAGAATCCGACACTCAACCACCTCCGACGTAGAGAGAGAGAAGGAAAGGGGTAAAGACGAATACATACACATATAGATAGATATATAGATACAGATTTGATTATGAAGATGAATTGAAGAAGATATAGAGAGAGAAAGATTGAGATTCTCTCCCAGCCCTCTTATTTTATTTTATTTCTCTCTATTTATTTTATTTTTGTTAAAAGCTTTGGGTTGTTACAGTTGTAAGGGTAAGCGGTGGCCGGTGAATGGGCGGGCGGGGATGAGAGAGAGAGAGGACTGCCCAGTTCCGGTAATAATTGAGGAAGGCTTGCTCTTTGCTTTTCCTTTTCTTTTTCTATCCTCTTTTTTTTTTCTTCAAAAGAAAATTACATTTTGATTTTACAGAAAGTGTTTAAAGACTTGTATGCAACAACTTGCGTTCAGTTTAATAATTTTAAATTTAATTTGAATCATGAAAAAATATTAAAAATATTAATAATAATTAAAATTGTTTTTGCCAAATACTTCGTGATACAACAACATTGTGACTCTTCAAAATTGGAGGTCGCATGTTCGATCCTGTTGACGAATTTGTTTTTATGTACCACCCAAAAGATCTCATACAAACGAGTTGGATTGAATCATTTTTATTTTAGTTCTTCTCTTCTTTTTCCTCCACTATGAGAAGAGGTTTGCACAATTGCACCTAATTAGGCTCCCCTCAAACTTAATGACTTCACAACTTGTGGTCTCTCTTCACCAATTATCTATTTGATTTCCAAACGATCATGTATCGTCGCTACTCTCCAATTCGCTGGACACATCGCTCAACCTCTTCTTTTTTCAGAAAGACTTTCAACACAAGACATACAGCACACCACCAATTTGCTGGGTCACACCATTTGACATATCAAATTATCTTGTATCGCTTATAACACTTAAGACATGACACATTGTCCGACCATCACTTCTTAAGAAGACTTTCGATATAAGGCATTACCTGTAGATCTTCGGCCATGTAGTCACACCAAGCACACTGATTACTCCGCACAATGCGGTCTAACACTTTTGTCCACTCGAACCTTGACTTTGATATCTCTGCATGTTGGGAATATGCGTATCTTCAACCCAAGTTCGTAGTGATATGATATTGCTCGTTTTAAGTCAAGTTCTCCTACATATTTTCTTGAGCACCTCCAAAAGGCATCATCTTAACGGATTGGGTTAAACCATTTATATTTTGGTTCCTCTCTTCTTTTTTCCTCAGGTGTGAGAGGCAATTTAATAGCACCGATTTTCTAAGGAGTTTTACGCGAAGGATCGCGTGTCTTGGGTAAAAGACACGATCGCGTCTCCTTTTCTCACCGCAACTTTATAAATTCCCGCAAGTTCATGGTCGGAATTCGTTCAGAAATTTCATAGCATTCCATATTCATTCTTGATACTTTCGAGTTTTATCCGATTGAATTTTGGATTGAACAATCAAAATATTCATTCTGAAAGTGTTATACACGACTCTCGATTCATCCACGTTTTCGTTAATTTCCCCAACATAATTTATATTTTTTAATTTATACTTATAATTAAATAAATTAAACTGTAAATAAAATATGTCAAAACTTATAGTCTTATACGGAGTACGTAGTAATGGGGAACGGAAAGAACCAAATTGATCGGGGAGAGTATCTAAAAAGTTCAATTTTTATCACAGCGATCCAAAGTCCGAATTCGGCATTCGAATTGCGTACAGTTGAGATATTTGTGCAAGTGTTAATTAATGAAGTCATCTCTTTCATCCACAATTTTAATATAATCAGTGTTTGTTTGGATACATGGAAAAACAGATGAAAGAGAATTGAAGCTTTTGAAAGTAAAAAAAAACATGTTGAGATATTTAAATAATACTCCCTCCGTCCCAAAAAGATTTACACGTTTCAAAAAAATTGTGTCTCATTCCCTTACCCATTTCTATTAAAAAACCACTTTTACCCCTTACTTTTTCAAACCCTACCTATCACATCATATCTTTTTTCTAATAATCTACACAACACATTCTACTTTTATCCATCACATTAAGGGTATTTTTGAAAAGTCAACACAAAATTATCTCTCCCTTAATTTCAACTTTAGTCAAAATGGGTAACACATTATGGGACGGAGGGAGTAGTATATAGTATTTTTCATTAAATTATGGAATACATGATAAAATATATAGATGAAGCTCTTAATACAACTAGAAATGGCATGGAGAATTAAAACTAAGTAAAATACAACATTTACCATAATTGGGAATTCGAACCTCACTATAATCAATCACTACCATAATTATTATTGTATAACACCCCCCTCAAGCTAAACTCTGATTGAAGCAACAGGAAGCTTGGACACTAGCTAGGAACTGGAAACCTTAAGAAGAGAAAAAAGTCTGACATGCGCTGATAGCTTCTAATGTCGAAGAAGAAGAGGAAGAAGCTTGGCGCGCGCTGGTAGCTGCTAACGCCTTTGAAGAAATTAAAGGAGAAAGCTGACGTGCGCTTGTAGCCGCTGACGTCAAAGAAGAAGATAAGATCATTTGAAGTGTCAGTTTGACTGAAGATCATAGACAATTTTTGTCTTTCTCTTGCATCCAGGCAATGTCCTGTTTCTTTTTTCTCATGAGAATTTTTATGACTTTCTTGGAGGGTGAATTGTAGATGTCTATTCTTTCATCTCTCCTTGGTTATTCCTTTTGGTATTGCTTTTGTTTTGATTTGTTTTGAGTTTTATATTGATCTAGCATTTCCTTACTGCTTAAATAAGCATCTTTTTTTAATATAAAAATAAAAAAATAAATTTTTTATATGAAAAAATCCACAAAAAATGTATGAACCCAAAATACACCATAGAAACACTCACAAAAAAATTTACCTTCATTAATATATTGAGAACAAATTATACATTCTTAATAAAAGTTGTTTTACAAAACTTTTATTTAAACAGGGGTTTCTCTTGTAATAATATGCCCTGATCTTTGATTTTTGTCAAATACTCCCTCCGACCAAAAAAAATCTTCATGTTTTAAATTTTATAGTCAAACAGTGATATTATTTGAACATAAATTGTAAGAAAAAGTATACTGAATTATAATATAAATTCAATATAATTGAATTTATCTAAGAATGTAAATTTAATATATCAAATTTTTGTAACATTTATTTCTTTTGATTGGGTTTAATTTATAGTTAAAGAGTGTCACTATTGCCAAAAAAATCAAAACAGGAAGATTTTAATGACTGGAGGCGTAGCATTTTTTTATGTAATTTTGAAATATATTACTCTATGATTTGTAAATAAAATAATTTTAGAAGATATGCAATTTTATACGTTGTTCGAAGTGAGACAAAAGTTGGACAAATGAGTAAAAGCACAACTTACGAATTGAAGCATTTTTTTCTATTTAAACACACCACCGTTAATTTTAATAATGTAAGAAACATTGTGCCTTAAAGTTTAAATTGTCAAAATACGTACAAGTTCTTGAATGAGCAATTCCAATGGGCCTTGTATATTGTAAAAACAAGTACGGAGTATTATATACAAGACACTATAGCAATGGGAAGTGCTACATTAACACTATATTATAAAAACAAGTCTCACCTTGTATTAGTACACTATATGCTATTCACATCTTGTAAATTTATTTTTTATATATTTATTAGAGTACATTTATATTAAATGTTTCTTATAAAAATACTAAATATATGTATAGTTTGAAATACATATACAATAAAAATTTTCAACAAATAAATATTATCACAAATAATTTTTTTTTAAAATAATAAAATATAAAAAAATATAGTCCCTCCGTCCCCATTTTGATAACAATTTTTTCTCTCAGCTTGATAACTTTTGTTTATTTACGCGATTTTATTAAGTATTTAATAAAATAAAATATTCTTATTACTTCTTAGCTTGTTTTGTAAAATTTTTAACGTAGTTTTTTAATATGTAAATTTATTTCTTATTGATATATCGATTTCTAAATAAAATAATTTCAAAAAGTCAGAAAATTTTTCTCGTAAATCTACATTTGTAATCAAATTGGGGATGAAAAGAGTATAAAGAGATATGATTGGAGTAGCTATGAAAATATGGATTACTAAAACACATTTGGTAGTGCAAAATACAATATACATTATCAAAAATTACAATAACGATTGGAGATGCTCTATTTCAATAAAAAGAATGTGCCAGAATCAAAAAATTGTTAATTGGTAAAAATAGAATATAATAGATAGATTATTGGCGAAGAAATAAATATGGTAAGTATTAGTAGTGATAAAAGTGGTTTTTTAATACTTCATCCGTTCTTGAAAATCTTTCCTATTTCTTTTTTCTTTCGTTCCAAAAATCATTTCTCATTTCTATTAAAAAGTCATTTTTATCCATAATAATTTATAACAATCCTATCACATTACATCTATTCACTTTTAATCTATCCATCAAATCCTACATTTATTACACCTATCACATTAAAGAATATTTTTAAAAAGTTAATACCAAATTACACTCCTTTAAATTCTTTAAAAATCAAAATTTCCCATAGTTGTAGGGACGAAGGGAGTAGAAAAGTTCCCATGAGAAAATTTCTTGATATTTGTGTTTTCTCTCCTATTTCTTACTCCCTCCGTCTCAGAGTATTTGTCTACTTTCATTTTTATACACCATCAAATACACTTCTTTAATCCATTTTATCTTGTAATTTGTATATTAAAAAATTATAGAAATTATATATTAATAATCTATATGTTAAGACAAATCATACAATATCACACATGACTATATTTAGGCTTAACATTGAGAGAATTTGATGAGTCAAAGTGCTTAGATGAACAGTTCCAAAAATTAAAAGTGAATGAATATAGCGGGACAGAGGGAGTACTTTCTTACCAATTTCACATTATCCAAACAAAGGTTACATTTTTCATTGAGAAAAAAAACAGTTTTGTAGAGAGTACTTATGTGGAGTAAAATGAAATATAGGGAATGTAAAAGGGATGAGTTACTAATAAAATTGGGTTATGCTACACTTACACCACAAATTGTACCACATTTGTACATCGCAGGTATACACAAACATTTTGATGGTTTACACTGACACAAATGTTGGTGCGTTAACAAAAATTTACACGGACACAAAATGTTTGTGCATTAACAAAAATTAGTTTTACACTAACACAAAGTGTTGGTGCAAAGCTACAGGATACAAAATGGGGTACAAAACATGGGGTACAAATAGCTTTATCCAATAAAATTTCAAAAAAGGAAAATGAAAACGTATAAAGCTGACAAAAAAAATTTGAGAAAATACTCCGTATATAGTGCAGGTATATTGGGCAGAAGCATACATTGGGAGTACACAAAGAGGTTGACGTAAGTCATCAGGAAAAGCAAATTGTCATGGTGACGTTGGCATGTATATTACACTGACTGTAACGAAGTGACTAACGTAGAGTAGAGGCATTATATATCACTGTCAATATCATAATTAATTTTTAAAATTATCTTAATAAGCAATTAGTATACAAATAAAAATATTAATTATACCATTTAAAAGTACATAAAGAAGTGTATATGAATCTAGAAGGAAAGAACTGTGTCGATGTCTGGACCAAATAAAATTAGCGCTGGTTTGGAAGGAAAAGGAAAGGAGAGAAGAGATGGGGGTAGATATGGAATGGAGGGGTTATATTAAAATTAGAAAATAGAAAGTGTAGATAAAGTGGTGTAATGGGGAAGTGGTGTGAGAATACAAAATTCCTTATTTAATTATGGTTGTTAAATATATTAATTATTTAATATGGAGAATTCTAAAATTCCTTATTAATTATGGTTATTTCCGTATTTATCAAGCTATTAATATGGAGAATTCTAAAATACTCCAACTCACTTATATATTCTCTTCATCCAACAATAAAGTTTCCGTTTATTATTCACATGGTCAAATTTTATTCATTTGTTGGCCTATTTTCGTGTCGTATTTGATAAAATAATATAGTCATGTCACCTCTAGTTTTTTAGATCTTTTCTATAGAGTTTTTAAATATGTAAATTTTATTTTTTAATTTCATACCATTTTTATATAAAATGATTTGAAAATAAATTCAATCAAACATCGTAACGCGCAACGGAAACTTTATTATGTTACACTACACTTTTAGGTAAATTAAAAAGTACTGGGGTATATCTCAAGATAAATTTACCTAAATAAAACTAAAACATAATGACTTTCCCAATATAGGACCATATGTTTTTATTTCCCAATGTAGGACATTTGGTCATTATCAAGTAATGTTTATTCAACTAAATGTCCATCATTACTGGACATTATTCCTTCCAGTAGGTCATTATTAAGTCTTATTTAGGAAATAAAAAAAATTTAGTCCTATATTAGAAAAGTCATTATGTTTTAGTCCTATTTGGTGCAAATTTCACTCAATTGTACATCAACACAAATACTAATTGTACATCAACACAAATACTTGCAGACATAACGTTTGTGCTCGGACATGAAACTATTTCTTATTAAACAATACTAGTATGAAATAACAAAAAAATGCACTAGATTCTACCTCAAATAATTCTCAATGTAACAATAAAATAATACCGAGTACTATTTGTCAAAGAATTAACTCAATCAAAACTCATGCTTATGATTGTAACCTAGAAAACATTTTTATACACTTTAACATTAATACTTCCTCCGTCCCAAAAAGTTTTACACATTTTGACTAAACTGGAAATTAAGGGAGGTATAATTTTGTGTTGACTTTCCAAAAATATCCTTGATGTGATGGGTAAAAGTAGGATGTGATGTGTAGATTATAAGAAAAAAAGTATGATGTGATAGGTAGAGTTTGAAAAAGTAAGAGTAAAAGTGGTTTTTTAATATAAATGGGTAGGAGATTGTAGAACGCAATTTTTTTGAAAAGGGTAAATCTTTTTGGGACGGAGGGAGTATAACTTATCCTTTTTTTGAAAGTGATAAATGAGTAATTTTTAGAAAAATTATCTTAAATCATCAAACCATTTCACTCTTATCCAAAAATAATCTCATTTTTCACCGCCACGGGAAATAGATCAGAGAAAAAGATTAAAGTAGGAGTAAAATACTAAAAATATACCAAAATTGGATTTCTGTGTTTTTTTCCTGAAATAGTAGTTAAAATGCATTTACATTACCAATCATGATCATGTGCATTACCAAAAACTGTAGTATAATGCACATGTACAATGTCACATTATCACAGTGTCAAACAAGTTCACTCTTTTCCAAAAAGAAATCCACTTTTCACTGTCGCGGGAAATAGAGAAAAAGATTAAAGTAAGAGTAAAATATTAAAAATATATCAAAATAGGACTTCCGTTCTTCTATTCCTAAAATAGGAGTTAAAATACATTACATTATCAATCATGACTATGTACATTACCAAAAGTGTAGTATATATAATGCACATGTATAATACCACATTATCACAGTGTCAACTCTTATTTATGAAATAAGAATATGGAACTTCTATTTTGGTAGTTTCTGAATATCTTACTCCTATTTAGGTTGATTGCCATGAGAAATAATCACACCTTTCTACATGTATGCGAGTTTCGAGTCGTCGTTAAGAACTTAACGGTCACTTAACGAAACTTTTGGAAAATACATATTTTTCGCAAATAAATGAAAGGTTGGATTATTTTAGGTAAATTCACTATTTTTTGTTTTTTAAATCTAAATTTAAAATTTATGTTTTCAAAATAATATAACAGTGCCCTCTCTATTAGTGATTTGTCTCTTTTTTAAAAAAAACTATAGCAATTTACAAATTTTGTATTCTGTTTTGAGAGAAATATAATAGTGGATTGTCAAAAATTAATTAAGAGTATCACTCGAGAAAGAGATTGTAATACAAAAAGTTATAGTGAGTTATAAAAATATTTAGTGCCTTTTTTTGATAAAAAAATATTGTGTCTTTTTCACAAATTTTGATTTGTTACTTTGTGAAAAACAATTGTGGTGAATTACCAAAAAATTACAAATTTTGTAGTGTCATTCTCTAAAAAATAATATGGTAATAGATGTTTCTCATAAACATTTCGGATTGTTGGTAATGAAACAAATTGCAATAGAAAAAAATGTAATGAGTTATAAAGTAAATAGGTTAATTTCAAAGAAAATTTTATTGGGTCAAATAAATAGTACTCCGTATATTATTAAAAAAATTAGAAGTATTTAAGTATTTTTTTAAAGCGAGACTAATTGTTGTTTTTCAAGAATAAATTAGTTCCATTTTAGAAAATAATTTATTGTGCAATTTATAACGAACTTTGTAATACACCATATTATTTTGGAAAAAATAACTATTACTAGATTATCAATAATTAAAAAAATAACTAGTGTCACTCTGGAAAAATGGCTTAAATTCGTTACTGTTCATAAAAGTATTTTTAAAAAAACATTTAAAAACAAAAAAGTGAATCTATCTAAAAAAATCTCACCTTTCATTTTGGTGAAAAACAAGCATTTTTTAAAATTTCCGTTAACTAACTGCTATCATCCTAACAACAACCTAAAACCCACAAATGAGAAAAGGTGAGATTATTTTTCGTGACCATGAAAAATAAGATTATTTTTGGATCACACTTTCCCCTCTTCCCCTTTTGCTACTTTTTTTTTACTTTCCATAAATTCTTTGGTGCACATAAGGTGTATGGTGTATATAATACACTTATATATAAGCGAAATAAGTAAATATTTAGTAGCGAGATAGAATATATTTTACTTTCATGGTATATTAAAATCGGCCGTTGATGTATAATTTGATAAAATTTACATGGTATATTAATTTTTGAGTACTATTAACTCTATTACTACTGACTCTACTTACGTGGTACGGAGTATATTAATTAAATAAAATAATGTTTTAAAATTATTTTACAATATACTCCAGGTAAATCTTATAAAATAATTTTTTTAAATCTACATCTAATATAGTTTGTACATAATTGAACATAAAAAAATTATTAATTTTGATTACAAAGAATTAAATTAAACAAATAGGAAGAAAGGTACTAATACAAAAGTAATACGGAGTACTACTCAACGTATTTTTGTTAGAAGGGACAAATACTCCATTGTAGGTGACTCCAAATAAAAAAGGTTGAGCTGAGCTGGCCGTAGGAGTAATTCGGACAAGACGATGGCAAATTCCCTTATTTACAGGAGACCGTTACCAACGCCTGAAAATATGGTTCGGCAAACGACGCCGTTGGATCCACCTCGCGGAACTCATTTTCCCGCCCAATTCCATGCAACAAACCAGCAGAGTATATACCGGGAGCTGAAGCCTTCTTTCTGTTCGTAAAACTCCATAGCCGTTTCGCGGAATCATACTCTCAATTCCGAAAACAAGTATGGTGGTGATCGCTGACGCCGTATCCGCCATGGCGGCGATAAGAGCATGGAGGCCGACATTTCGCAATGCGGCGGACAAGGTCGTCTTCGCCGTTCACGCCACCTTCTTCGCTTCCGGATTCTACCTTAACGCCACCGGCGCCCCTGCTTTCGACCTCGACACTTTCGCCTCCCCCTCAACCACCGGTAATTAATCCTCTCTCCTAACATGTAAGGCGCAAATTGAAGCTTCTTCGTGCATATTAAGCTATTTAGATTTTAGAATAGTGGATTTTTAACGGATTTCATGCTCTATTCCGCGTGTGTAGGGTTTATGTGATGTTGCTTTCCCGATTTTGCTTTTGATGGAACGGAACTGCTTATGATTTTCGCGTTTGGCTTTTCAGATGATAGATTTTAAGTAATTAATGTTGTGGATTAATGTTGAAGATATATGAGTGCAGTGATGTAAGCACATGAATTTAGAGTAATCTGCTGCATGTTTCCCCCTTCATATTCTGTTCAGATGAGGTAGGCATTGAAAATTGGAACATCTTCGAGTGCCAGTATGCATTTATATATTCAAACTCAAATCCAGATGGAGTCTCGAACAGAGTGAAAGTTCTATGTCTTGTAGAGGATCATAAAGTTCGGGTTGTTGCAATGAGGCATGGTGACAGCACACTTTATGAACTTAAACTGAAGTGAGTTCTTTCCATTAATTTCCTGGTTGAAAAACAATCAATTAGATAATTTCCGTACAATCTTTTTTGTATTACATATGGATGCCAAGTGATGGAAAGCTTTGGTGGTGTGCAGAGTTCATGACTATGTTGAGAATGGAGGCAGAGATTATCACTCACAATATAAGAACTTTGAGTATCTGGTCAAGGAAATCAAACAGGTTGTGATGAAGTATATTGACTCTTCTGCCATAGAATCATCCTCTAGGACCTCCACTTACTTGTCAAGGTAAACTAATCATAGGCTGTTTTACCAGTATGTTGCTACTTGAGGTATTAGTTTTCTATGAAGTTCAGATTTTCTCAGAACGTAAGAAACCGAAACCAACACACTGAGCTTAATGTTTGAAACCCGCGCTTATGAACTTTGCATCTTATGAATTATCCTTTCTTGTTCACTGGAGTTGTTTTCATTTAAGTCAGGAATGCAACACTAATAAGTTACTTTTAATCTTTTCTATAAACTGAATACAGATTTGAAGATGTTTGGGATAGTCCCGCTGCTGTTTACTGGTATGGATATATCCAATGTAGGCAGTGTCACCACTTACTGCCTGTTTATGTGCTAGGGTAATCAAATAGTTACCTTGTTAGTCGTTTATATCCAGAGGCAATCTTAATAATTCCATTTTTGTCGTACTTTTAGATTGTGCTTTTAATTCAACCACAAACAAGTTACGTTTCTTGCTGTCAAATCAAATGTTAGATTGTTTTCTTTAACTTGAGCTTTATGAGGCGTGATCCAACTCTACTATGACAGATCTAAACTGACACTTCCTTCAATTACTTCCAAAGATCAGACAAAGAATGCTAGTGTCTTTTGCTCTTAATGTGGTCATTTATTTTGTTGTATTGCTGTCTACACATGCAGATACCTGGCTCTGCCATTTCCTGGCATTAGGGGGATGAACAACTCTCATGGACTTCATACTATAAATTTCCTTCCCAGGTTCCTTAGTTTTCCTTTCTCTAAAAAAGCCGTAGTTCACTTTTTATAGGTGAGTGGCAGTCGTTATTATAGATGTTGCATTGATAGTTAAGTGGGTAAAATGGCCACAGCATTTTCGGGGGAACTGGTGTGTACTATTTCTCAGGGAAGATACAAATATGACCCTTATGTTTGCTTCCTTGTACAAACTGACCCTTTCAATCCTTCTACTTCTCAATTTGCACCTCTTCCCAAGCATTGCTAGGTTTCTTTGCATCCAGTTTTCATTTAGATGACCTTGCCAGTAACTGTACTCCATTTTCTTCTTAACTATTGAACATACAGGCAGCCCATACTTTGGTACTCATGGTATAGACTGATATTACTATTACATACATTTATGATACTCCAATGTCATCTACATTATCATGTAGACGCATTCTTCCTACCTTTCCTGTGATTTGGGAAATGAACAATTTTCATGGACACACTACAATTTTTGTGGTTGCATATGAAGTCTCTAGCTACTCACAGAGAATCATCTCCTCTTTAGCATTTAGTACATCATGAATTTTAGTGTTTATTGTTATTTTTTATTTTTTGTTGCCTATCCAGTCATGCTGTATTCCCATATTATGGCGTGAGTGGCTTCGGCATTTTCCCTGGACCATATGATGCTGTGTATTTCATACCCAGGTTCCTTAATTAGCTTCTATTTGCATCCATTGTTCATCTAAGCTTTGATTTCAATAATTGCACTTCTCTATGTAGTCTTATTTTTCCATATTCATAATAATGTCTATATAGATTCCTGGTTCTTCCAGTTCCTATGTTTTGGGGGAGCAACAATTTTCATCGCCGTGGTACTGGAGTTTTCCTTCCCAGGTTCTTTAACCTGCCTGCATCTCCTCTTCTTTTTCTTTTCCATCCCATCATTATTTATGATGATGCTTATTATGGTGAGATGAGTAATGATTCCGGCATATGAAAATAGATCACAGAGTAGCCTAAATTTATTACAGAGTATTATTTCATTCTGGAACAAATCTTTTATTTAATTTTTAGTGTTGCATGATTCTGTAACATGTTTTTTAGGGCCTAACAATTTTGGATGGGCTACGTGATGATGATGCTCTCATTTGACTTGCAAGTATAATTGATGATGATCCTGAGTGATCCTTCAGGAGCATATGGCTTACCAATTCACATCTGCAAAAAATATGTGTAGATAACCTGAACCAGTTGTTGCAGATTGATTTTCTTGAGGCCGTAACTGTAAATAGTACACTGCTTGGGCGGTGTGGTTTGAACTAAATGCCAAATGTTAACATTGAAAAGCCACGTGTGATTCTAAACAGGAGTTATTGCTTTGATTGTCATTGCTCCCATCGTTCATGGTTGTGTATGGGGAGAAATGGAAATGAATAAGTTCATTAGGACATCCTTCATGGTTGTGTATGGGGAGATTTTGTTTTAGCACATAAAACTGTTTTAACTGTGGTCATTGGTAAATGATAGTCCTTGTTTGCTTGCCAGAAGCACTAAATACATGAGTACAAAGTATTGAGTTCATCTGCAGTCACTATCAGCTCTTGGTACAAGGCCGAGCGCGAGTCTGGTCCTTCAAGATCATCACTCGCGTGATCGCCTTTAGAATCAATGGCCAAATAATCTGTCAAAGCCTTCCTCGGGCTTTTCTGAGATTTGGACATGAACGGATCTGAAGGCTTGGTCAAGTCATCTACATGAAGAAGATCATCGATGCGTGCCACAATGTTGAATGCCAAACTCTGCACGGCTCTTGAATAGCTCTCCAGTATAGATTTGCCAAGATCCTGTGGAGGAAGAAGAAGATTCAGTGAGTCTGCAAATTTCTTACTTCAAACAGGTAATGAAATCATTTTGGGTATGTTCGGATCCCGAGAAAATGTGAAGGAAGGTCATTATTGAGTTTTAATCTATCTTCTATTTTCCTTCATACTTTGAATTCCCTAGTATTTTCTGTGTTCCAAATGAACCCTTAAAGGGACAATTATTGGAACCTTGTTATGTTGAATCTTGCTCATGTGCAGCGTTGTCTGAGGAAGCCCAGGAAACCTTTGTCTCAAGCAGGTGAGAAGACTTTCAGCCCTATATGCAAACACCTCTCTCTTATCTGCATCAACCACCAACTCCTTAACCATTTCCCACGATAGCTTCGAGTTTTTTGAGTTAGTTTTTTGGCACCAAATGTGTATCGAAGCCTCCAACTGGTCAGCGATCTCTAGAGCCCGACGTTGAGAAGACAAATTGAGGCAGTCGAGCAAAGACTCGGGTGAAAATTGATCGGAGAAGTTGTATCCATTGATGAATTCTTCTAAGCCAGTGTAACCACTCTGCAGCAATGTTATGTTAGGAACAACAAAAAACAAAATACAAGATAACTATAACCTCAATTCTTATAATTGAACAAAATTCTATATGTGGGGAGTAGTATTTCACCTTAGAAAGAGTTTCCAAATATGATTCTGGGACTTCCATGTCAGCTAAAGTGCAACAGTTGATAGCCATTGCTGCTTTCAGGATCTGATTAGTGCAGGCCCTAATCTGCTGCAACTGCTTTCTTGCTTTCCCGCTGAGACCACACGTAGGGACTCGAGGGACAGGCAACCACCATTTCTCCTTTGGTGGTGGGCTCTGGGTGGCCAAGACACCTTCTTGATCAACATACCAGAACTCTGTATGGTCTAAGCCGTCCAAAACTTCCTGCAACAAAAACACACCGGATTTGAACTCTTGTTCAGCTGTTCTTGATTGTCACGATACATTGTGGCAAGATGGTATGCCATTTATCTTACTATAATCATATTGTCCAGTTTCAGAAGCGCGGGGAGGCTGACGTACAGATCTTGCCTTGGTCTAGAAGTCATTACCTATATATACAAAGGAAAGTGTCATGAGCTCATCCAAAAACTTTTATTGAATACGATTTAACTCTAGTATCTGTCGTCCATACATACTTTTTCAACCTATTAAAGTACAAAATGTCAATGCCTCCTCCATTGGGGTTCAAACATGTGACCTCTTGTTTGAGTGAGACATAGTTATGCCGCTATCACAAGGTCTTTAGCCCAAAAATCTATTTCACTAATGTTTGTACTTGAAGAATGTATGCACGATTACCTCTCGTTTGGTTCCATCGGGGAATGTATGCAAGGATGGTGTCAACTCCACAATGTAATCGCTAACGCTAAGAAGCCATTCCATTCCTCTCTTCCATGTTAGCTTCTTCTCAGAAGGCAGAGGCTCTAATCTACATACTTTCCCAAAAGTTGCAGCTAACAAATTAAGAAGAAGAATGATATGTTCAAAGAAGTAGAAATCTTTGATAGATCATATGGAAGATTAGATCTTTGAAAAAAACAAAATGTGGCATACCAGAAAGATCAGTAATGGCATTCGAAACAGCCAATGCTGCAGAGACACCCTTTTCGCCACCCGACATATCTTCTCCGAGGAGCAACTTTGAGAACGTTTCCTTGAGCATCTCAACAACCTCTACGTTCCAAACCATTGATTGGATTCCAAACATGCAAAAGAAACATAAAGAAAAAACCAAAAAAACAGAAGTGAAAATATACATATTTTTACCAGGTGAAGATGAACTTTGCTTCATCTGATGAGGAGGCTTTTCCCTAACTGCATCAAGTGATACAGTTGAAGACATGTACTCTTCAGAGGGGCTGAGCTCTCTGTTACGAGTACTTTCTTCTTTGGAGAAAGAACCGTTAGAACTCGAAGAACTGCGACTCCTCTCCCCTCTATTCAATTCATCCTCATCCAGTTCCCATTCCACTTCAAAAACTTTGCCCAAAGGTTCCATATTTCTTTCCCTCTTGACCCCAAATAATCAACAGAGCTGTTTACTGCAACCAGTATTCAGTACTATGACATACATCTTCTGGTGTATATATTCATAGGACCAATAAAGCAAGCAAGAGGAATCATGCAATGGCATAGAAGCTTCATCTACAATCAAGGTCCATGTGGTTAACATGTTTAAAGAGGGAGAGAGGGAAAAGACATTTCTTGTAGACTGAAAGGGTGTGTTTTGTTTGAATGTTTTTAAATTAATGTAATCTTTCTTTTCTAAAGTGTTTGGTCGAATATAATTTGAACTATTGTTGGGTTTTGCTGGTACCCCCAATTTAAATGGTTGAGTACTCTTTTCTTCTTTTTCTTTTAGACAAAGCATTAAAGCTTTGGTTCGTATGTGTAATGTGCATTTGATAATTTGAATTTTCCAAGGTAAAGTGATGCCCATCAATATCATCATCCAACATTTTGTACTTTATACGCTAAAAATGGTGAGTTCTGTTTTTATTCACCAAGTATTTATTTACTTTATGATATGAACATTGACACTTTCAAGTTTTGAAATAAACTTCACCACATGAGGTAGGATTTCATTATGAACTTTTGTTGAGCAAACCAGTGTTCATAAGATACAGATTTTGAAATTTAGGGCCCGTTTGGTATACAGAATTGATGAGATTAAAATTGAATTGGAATTGAAATTCCATAGGATTCAATTCCATAGAATTGAATTCACCCATTCCAATTCATTTTTTGCACTATCAATTCCAAATCCACATGATTTTTTGTGATACCAAACTCCAAATTTGGAATTGAAGTCCTCAATTCCAATTCCAAAATTTGAATTCCATATACCAAACGGGACCTTAGAAACATTATTCTACGTATGAGTTAGAATTCTGATATTAAAGTGTTTAGAGAAATTTAGTGTTAGTAACACGCAAAACATGGCCAGTAGCAAGAGACCGCCAACGGCGGGTGGTTAGCAAAGTAGGGTGACCGATGGCGGCATGCAGCTGGCGGGGCGGGAGGGCATGGCAGCAACGGGCGAGAGGCGGTTGAAAAAGATATCAAAACACCTCCATTCAGAAGGGTTGAAATATCAGAAGATATTCATATCTCATTTAGGCTTCACCAAATAGCCACAAAAGGGTTCTAATATCAAGAGCCAGCCGCACAATTGTTTTTCCTTTAAAAATGACAATTACTCTGTAAATCCGTAATATATTAAAAATACTCCATAATTGTCATGAAAAATTATAAATATTATCATGAGACCCTTGATCTTCCAAGGCACACCGGGTCCGCAACAAAAAACATACCACGGAGTAGTAAAAATGATTCATTATCTGGTTCAAAAATGTTTCAACAATGTGGTTTACAACTATATAGGCCGCTTTGTGAAGAAAAACGGGTCATTATTAGGCAACCTATTTCTCCACAAAGTGACCTTGCATTCGGACACAAAGTTCGGAGAGGGGATCCAATGAACATATAATAAGGCGTGGGAGTCATCTGAGGCGAAATGTTAATGCCAAGCATACAAGAAACTGAGAGTCTATAAGCTTTCTAAAGTATCCATAAGTAAACATTGCAGTGGAAGAGTTCTCTATGGTTAGGGCAGGGGAAACCAAACACAATCAATCCCCTTTACATCATTGGGGCATGCTAGGGGTACACCAAACACAAACAAAACAGATATTATGTTATGTGACTGTGATCCACAGACACATAATGTCCACATAATGTCTGTGATGATCTGGTGTACAAATAGGGTACAGCACTTTGGTTTACTCCTAGCTTTATTCTACATCATTTCCAGTACCACTTCATTTTTTGGGAGGATGGGAGCACATTTCGCTTTAGATAGACAGCACAAACACAAATAAGCATCTCTAGTAAGTAAGATAAGCATTTAAAACAAAAAAGATAGTGATATAAAAAAGCTTCTATCTTGTTCATCTTTGGACACCATGATCACTTCTTGTGAAAATCTGGATGCTTCACAACGGTCACCGGGCAGGTTGCATCCGACAATACATAGCTCGTCACACTCCCCATTATGATCCTGCCTCACCCATCGCCCATTCAAAGAAACAAATCTTTCATCAATTTACAAATCATATAAATGGTATCTATCTATGAATTACCATGATTCTTTTCTCATCACAATCCTATTCCACAACAGGAAACAAATAATAAATGGCATCTAATCTTGCGCCCCTAACAGAACAAAGTTCATATAAAGAAATCAGAGGCTCTCACATGCTTTCGGATCGAATTAGAGTTTGATACAGGTGGGGAAATTGCTGATAAGATTGATTGTGTCGATAGAACAATGGCGAGGTAAGAAACAGAACTAACCTCTGCAGGGTGCTAAGCCCTCTGCTGCCCATGACCAAAGAATCCAACTTCAGATCATCAATTGATTCAATTAGCTTCTCCCTTGCATCTCCCAGGTACAACTTTATAACCACGTTTATCTACACATAATCGGATTGCATTCATTATTTCCAAAAAAAAGAAAGGGGAAAGTGAACTCTTTTAAAGAAACCCATTTAAAGATCTATTTGCAGGAACTTAAAATTGATCAGATTGGGAGGAAAAAAAGACCTCTTTTTGCCTAGATGCCGTATCAAGAAGATCAAGAACTTCAATGTTAGTCTGGACATCGTACTTCTTCATCACCTCCGGCTCACGAAACTCAGACAAAGGAATCAAAGCTGAACAGAAGATAGATCGAAATAAATGAAGAGATGAGGTTGAAAATGAGGAAATTAAAGGGTTTTTGGAGTTTGGAACTTACGAGGGCCAGACTGAGACCAGAGGTCATCGCGAGATTCATGAGGACGATGGGGTTTGATGTGGACGATGAAGAAAGTGTCGCCCTTGTCAGCCAGGTTGTCCACGGCCCATTTCAGTGCGGCCTCGCTGCTCTTCGAGAAATCCATGGCAACTCCGATCTTCCTGTCTTTCACCATTTTCTCAGCTCTCTGTTTTTTTTCCTTTGCAGAATCTTTTTTGACGCTTTGAAGTGCAGCTGTCGCTATCTATATTCTACCTGTTACTCCCCCCCTCCGTTGGGATAAATTAACTAATGTGTATTCAATATGGATTTTGATGGATTTTTTTGAATGTTAAAAGTCAGTGGGTATTCAATTAAAATTTTAAAAAATCATTTAAAATCTAAATGTATTCAATTGAAATTTTGAAAAATCTTTAAAAATAAGGTATTTAAAAATTGATAGATTTTAAAGAATCTTTGTTCCATATGGATTGTGAAAGATTTTGTAGGCTTAAATATAAATAAAAATCTTATTACAAATCCCAGCCACAAAGGAGAGATTTTGCCCGACTCCTATCATCTTTCCCTCTTGTATCACATAGGATTCATCTTCCGACTCCTCTTCATTAGTGATCATGGAAGCTCCGTTCCATCTCCCTTCCACAGCCTCTTCTCGCCGCCACCAGATCCCATCACTTCCGCATCTCTCTGGAAGCTGGAGTCTCTCTAATTCTCTTCCATGAACAAAGTCTCTCTAATTCCCGATTCACTACAATCCAAGTACCTTTGATGGCTAAACTTTTGGGGATTATGAGCGATTTTTGTTCCTCTTTCAAGGTATGAAGGTGGATTTCATATCCATTTGAATTTTCATTAGATTTGAGGATTTATGGAGAATACGAAGTCACTATTCATGGTGTATATATGGAGCACAAATTGCACTGCTTCTTGCTTGGTTTTTTTGGTGAATTTCTTTTGTGGATTCCTATGAAGAGAACGAATTGCACCACTGGAAGAAGCCAAAGTATTTGTGGGGATGGATTTTAAAAATCTCTTAGAATCTTATAAAATCTTTCTCATAAAATACACTACAATCTATCTAACTCTACGCAGATTTAAAACAATCCATGAATTTTACAAATCCATAAATTTTAAATAATCTATCAGAATCTATTAAAATCAGGATTGAATACACCCCCTAAGATTAGACGGATCCATTTGAGAGGTGTATTGATTATTGTAGTTGTTCAATTCAAAAATCAATTGGATAAAATTTAAATTTATCAAGAATAGACTTGACAAAAAATGACTTGACCTGTTTTTGACCCGAAACCCGACCTGAAAACACTAGGTTTTGAACAAAGGTTTTAATGACCGAACCCGAAGTTGACCGAACCCGAAATTACCCGCTAAAAATGGGTCAAACCCGATTGAACCCGAACCCGACCTGACCGACCCGCTAAAGTAAGAATTTTTCAAAATTATACACTTTACTACTTGTTTTTAGTGTATAAATTTATATTTTCAGACAAAATTTTAATAATATTGCATAATTATCTTACTTTTTTCCAAAACTTAAGCATTTTTAAATTCCTTACATTGATTTATATAACTAAAATTACTTCAGAGTTTAAAATAAAATAATTTTATAGATTTAATACATTTTTTTTGATATTTTAAATTTATTTAATATAAAATGTAAGTGTTAATGTGAATTTAAAAATTTAAAAAACCAAAGCCATAACCCGTTGGGCCGACCCGAACTCGATGACACTGGGTCATGAACATACAGTTCTCGACCCAAACCCGAATTGATCCAGACCCGAAATAATCCGAACTTGAAGTGACCGAACCCAAACCCGACCTGACCGACCGATTAGCCAGCTCTAGTCAAGAAAAAGTATTGATTGATATGAATTTTTGAATTCTATTTTTCGACAAAAGATCGGCGGAATTTATAGAGCCGCAGAAGGGAAGAAAGGATGTAGTTGCGTCTCCCATCTAGAACGCACGTCTCATGGCGTGAATTTGAATAAACGGGCTATGTCTTTTCTGAAAATTTTCCTTTGAACAAAATTTAAAAAGTAAAAATTCAAATGAATTTTTAGCATAACATTTTGCCCAAAATAAAAATATCGACCCAAGCTAGGGGCTGCCGCCCCTTGAATCCTGCTCGGGGGCACTGCTAGAGGTGTTCAAAAATATTCGATCCGAAATATCCGTCCACGATCCGGGCCGATCCGATCCGAAAAATGGATATCCGATCCGATATTTTAGCTTTCGGATATTTCGGATCGGATACCCGAAAAAAATCGGATCGGATATGGATTCAATTTCTGGAATTTTTCGGATAACCGGATATCCGATTTTTTTTTTGCTATATTTTTTTGGAATTTTATGGATATATATTGTGACTATATCTTTAAATATAATTTTATTCTGATTTTAGAACTCAACCATTTTGGACTTTTTGCATTAGCATTTTAGAATCTTTTGTTTTAATAATGTTTTTTTTGTTTAGGCAAAATTACCAAAGTTACTCCCAAATTGAATTTGGTATCATTTTTTTTATTAGGCCATTACTTAGTGGTGAAATTTTTTCTTTTAGTAAATCTATATTGAATTTGATATTTTGGGTTGATTTTTCTATTTTACCTTTTTTTTTTGTAAATTTTGGCTAAAAACTCAACTTTTCGGATAATCCAGTGATCCGATCCGAAAAATTGAATATCCAAATTTCGGATATCTGAATATTTTCGAATCGAATATGGAATGAGTTTTACATGATCCAAAATTTTCAGATATCCGAATTTGCGGATCAGATCGATCCGATTGAACACCCCTAGGCACTGCCCACGAACCCTCGCTAAGGGAGCGCTGCCTCCTTGGAACTCACGTTAAAACGAGACTTTTATTATAACAAACTCAACGAAGCGTGTACTCTACACTACCAAACTTCTTTGATGATTATTATGATACCATTGGTCAAATAGTCTTTTCAATTACACTAAAATATATAATATTCCTCCCCCATTTTAGTGTAATCCTTGATTAACTAAACAAATCTATAACAAACTACAAACTTATGCATAAATGAAATACCGCGACGATTGAATTTCATCTTAGTACATTACACATTCAATATATTCGAATATCAGGGTATCATTAAGGATTGAACCCTTTTTATTCATTTTGAATACATGAAGATAATACACACAAAAATTTACATACTTTAATGTTCTAGTTTGACACTATTATTTACTAGCCTTGTGTCCTAATCCTTCATAAGCATATCAAAGTGCAGTCTTTACTTCTTGAAGCGACTAAACTTCATGCTCAATAAGTTGATCTTTTCTTCTTGCACCTGCATATGCAGTTTTTTCAAAAGAACTATTAAGAAGATATATTTCAACCTCTTAATCTTATAAGTCTGACACATACTTCGAGATAATATACTTAATGTGTTCAAATTTATAGATGTTAAGATTTTCCACATTAAATTCAGTATCTAATGTCTTATTAAATGAGAATTGAGATTCTTACCAGGAGAAATTTAGATAGACTTCAATCAAAACCCATAGCCGATCTCTGCACAAGGTTTCCACTTAACCCTTTGGTTAAATGATCAGCTAAATTTCGTTGAGTTCTTACAAACTAAACTGATATCACACCGTGCATGATGAGCTCACGAACCATGTTGTGTCTCACACTAAAGTGTCTTGACTTCCCATTGTAAACTTGACTACACACCTTAGCCAATCACTATCACACATAATAGATGTGGGAGATATTAGTTTTGGCCACAATAAAAATTAATATATTTGATTTCATATATTTTAGCCATTATTTTCATTTAATAATTCTAACCAAAATAGCTTTCAATTTAATAATGTTTCCATTTAGAGATTTGGGGCCAAACTTTTTGTGGAGAGATCGTTTTAAGATGTGTGCCTATAATACATGGAAACGTATCCATTTTTTGTTAACTCTAATAGAAAAAACTTTAAAAGAGAGTGTTAGCACTCTTACTCAAGAATCTCTGTAATGACTAAACAAATACCAGCTAACGAAATGAACCCCACCAATAACTAAATTTGCTTGAGGTTGGATAATTTATCAAATGCGGATGAAGTGTTGAGGATATAGGTTGTTTAAGAAGCGAGAGTCGTTGGCTCATTATAGTCACTTATGAATTTTTATTTTACATCGTGACAACTCTTGTTCCCCCACTCCTAAAGTGGTAAAGAAGGGTCTTTTTCTACTTAACAAGAAGATATGATTCTTTTATTGCATCTCACTATTATTTTCTATTATTTTTAAAAAAAATTGTTGATTTGATTGACAAACTAGGTGAGAGAATGAAATACGTAGTATCATCTACTTGAACCTTTCTAATTTATATACCTCTCTTTTCGTATGCCTGCCTATGCCCCTAAGCAAATTGTTTTTTATTCTCTAAAAACATGGCTTATAGAAATCTAGAGACTTAAATTAATTCAAGAATAAACTTACGAGACTAAAATGAATATTTTCTCCAATTTCAAACCATTGTGCACCGATATGTTAGATTCAATTAGGATGTGACAAATCTTTTTGCATCTCATCAAAATATTCCGTGGGAGAGTATGAAATGTGACTCATTCCCTTTTCCGCTCGTAGAATGAGCCAAGAGCGAGCCCCGGTACCATGAATCCATGATGCGCAGGGTGGCCGAGCCACGTGGGGCCAAGATTGGTCTCCCAGTCAACTTCGGGATTCGATATGGAAACAAATGCTCCGACTTTTGTGGCCCCGCCGGCCCACCTCATCCACGCCCCGTCTCCGCCACGATCGGCTGCCAACCCACCTTTTAGCCGTCCGATCGAGAACCCCCCATCTCTCTCTCTCTCTCTCTCTCTTTCTCTGCAGCCTGCACCATTTATAATAATTGCATTTATTTATGGCTGCACATTTCGCGGGGTATTATTCCTCACAGCACACTGTATTTGTGTGTGTACCTCTCCACACTCCTCTGTATCTACAGGCCGGAAGATCCCTTTTCTTCACCGGCCTTGAAGGAACCGCCCGCCTTTCATCAATTTTCTTGAAGATCCCTTTGCTCTGAATCTCGCCTCCATTCATTTCTTTGCGTTTGGTGTAAGTATACGCCCCCTTTGACTCCCCAGATTTGTTTTCTTTCTCTTCTTCTCTTGCGAAAACAAATGTGGGCATAAAATAAACCCTTTACTGCATTTCTTGGGTTTCTTTTAGCCAAGAACATGAATGTGTTGAATTCCAGTGCTACTTAGCGTTGATTTAGCCTTGTTTCTGTGCGGATCTGTGAGTTTCCTGTTCTGGGTATGGTTATTTTTGCATCTTCCTTTCGTAATGTTGAAGAAAGATCTAAAATTTTATTCAAACCCGCAAATCTTGGATCTGTAGGACCTCGATCTGTGTTAATATGTGCTTCTGTATCTGGTGAACACTGTGCATGGTGATCCATTTGAGCAGTGGAACCATTTCTCATTCGTGTATGTACAATGGCCGTTTCGCTAATCTTGTTCTGCCCTCTTTGTGTTTTTTGTTCACCCACAAAATTGAAGCTGTGGAAATTGGTTAAGGCAACTAAGGCTCTGGGTTTTTTTTCCTTGATTAGGTGAACACAAATTGTGGAAGATTCTGACTTCTTTCGGCAATGATAAGTTAGAAAGTGTTTGGAAAATGGCGGACATAGCAAAATCTGGCAGGAGGGTTTCAGGGCAACAACAGATCGCAGATGGTGTGCGAGATAAGACCAGATTATCCAAAGTTATTGGGAGTCCCCAGTGTGAAGAAATGCATCATGAAGTGCCTAAACGTGCAATGAATAAGAATACGGTCCGGCCAAAGTCTTCTGAGTGTTACCAAAAACAGCGACCGGATAACAAAGACGAGGAACTTGTGAAGCACATGTCAAATTTGCCTAAATATCTGCAGAGAACAGAAATGGAGAAAAGTGTTCAAGCAAAAGCTTTGAGTTTTGGGGTTATTGACTGGAACCATCTAGAAAAATGGAAATACAGTGACCATATTTCAGCTAGAGACCACGAGAAAGGGTCAGCATTGCCATCTTCAGGGGGTGATTTGTCATGCCCCAGGCCGCCTAAAGCTTATAGTTCATTCCCTCAACAGAAACACATGTGCCCACCATTTCCTCATGAACAAAATCTTTCTGGACCCATGAAGCACTCCCGAGGAAAGTCCATGCCTGGTCAAGAGTTTTTTACAGCCCCGGTGAGCACAAAACCAGTAACTTCTAGGAGGAGATCTTCCGAAGCAAACATTAACAAAGACAGTAAGGTTTCTGATGATAAATCCAAACCAGGGAAAGATGATATGTTCTCTGACCAGTCAAAGATTGACAGAAGAGATGATCAAAATGGTAGAGATAAGGTCAAAGCAGGCATGCAGGTGAATTGTGCTCCTAAGCCGCAAAACATTGTCATTCTAATGCCAAAAGCAAAACATTCTCAGATTTCAGAATCCCAAACTGCGTCAAATGTGGACTCAACGGAGCCAGAAAAGAAAGGATTTTCTCAAGAATCTTGCTCAAGAGAACACTCCCCTATTCCACCTTCTACTGATAAACAGTCCAGTATGAAGGATTCTTTGGACTCCTCTGAGACATCTGAGGGGAAGGGAAAATATCCATCACCCACGAGACGATTTAGCATGAATCTTGGCATGGTGAGTAGGAGTTCAAGTTTTAAAGAGACTCCAACAGCTCCAAGATTGCCGGACACACATACTATTCCCAAGTCTGGTCCAGTGAGTTCTGGGGTAGAAAGGTCAAAAGCTAACGGGAAAGGGAGATCAAGTCCTTTGAGGAGATTGTTAGACCCACTTTTGTTAAGGTCCTCCAAGGGGACTCATACAGCTGAGACTAGCAATGAGAAGTTAGATTCTACAAGCAACAGGGAACACCCATCATCATCATCATCATCATCTTCTGGGGCTCTTCTACAGCTTAGTATAAAGGATGGCCTCCCTTTCTTCAAATTTGTTGTTGATGGCAGCCAAGACATTTTAGTTGCTGCTGTCAAACAGTTACCAAAAACTGGAAAGGGAGATGGACGTTTGGTTTATTCTATCTATACAGTTTCTGAGATCAAAAAGAAGAATGGAGGCTGGATGGGCCACGGATCAAAGGGCAGTGAGAAATGTAGTGAGTTCGGATATAATATGATTGGGCTTATGAAGGTTTCCAGTTCTTATGTCTTCAAATCAGATTTGAGAGAATCCGTGTTGTACAGCGTGAATCTTGGACAGGTGGTGGACAACAAACAAACTGCGTCAGAGTTTCTTCCGGACAGGGAGATTGCAGCCATTATAGTTCCAAAATCTGGCAGCATTGTTGTCATTCGTCCGGGTGGCGTTCATGGGTTGCCCCAAAAAGGAACTCCATCTTCACTGGTTGAAAGATGGAAATCTGGTGGGGTATGTGACTGTGGTGGGTGGGATGTTGGTTGCAAGTTACAGGTTCTCACTGAACATGAGAAAGACTGCAATAACCTTGCATTGTTCCTCCAGGTATCCATCCTCTCTTTTCTTCACTCAACTGATTTTAGAAGGACAAAAATGTTCCATTTTTAGGACTAAAGACCATTTGTGTGGGGTCATTGAGCACCTTCGTCCGTTCTTTTTTAACTGGCCATTATGATTATCTTTTAAATACAAAAAATGAACGAATGTAGACATGATGTGTGTCCATGTTCATTGTCAGCTAAAATTGAATGTATAGAGGTTTTACAAGTCCTATTTTGATGTGGAATGCTCCTTTGTTCTTATGACTCTTGTTTGAATAGGGAGGAGAGCAAGAGAGAAAGCTCATCTTTAGCTTGGCCCCTTTGAGGAAGGGGCTCTACACAGTACAATTTGACCCATCAGTCCCTTTGGTAGAAGCATTCTCCATATGTGTAACAATCCTAACCGGTCAGAAAAAAGTATGTGGAATGTTGGAGGTGGCAGACCCTTCTGTTAGCTCCGGAGGTGTGAGGGAGGCCGAAGTGACAACTGCCGCCACAGTCCAAGGGGGTCAGGGATCTGCAAAATATGCGCCTTCTCCGCCACCATCCCCAGTTGCCAGGATCTAGTGTTTTTTTGTTTAACTTTACGTATCGTTCTTGCTTTTTTTTGATAAATGTAAAGCTCTTAGTATGCTTGTTAGTGCAATGGTTGGTTATTCACTCACCCATTGCTTATGTGAGTATAGAACCTCAAAATGTGAAATCGCCTACCGGTAAACAAGTAGCATAAGTGGCCTGCCTGTGTTGGTAGCTACTTTTCTTTGGCTTATGAGTCGGCTTTTATTTCCCTTAAATTCTTTATCTGGTGTACACTAACAAAGAGTTTTTAGAGAATAATACTCCATAAATGTTTCATAGAAAACAAACTCATTATTAAAAAAATTGGAGTGTTTTACCAATGCTTAACAAACTTAACAACTTCAGCAACAACAACAACAATAATCAACCCAATAAAATCCCACCAAGTAACATTCGCAGGTGTGTGTGTATACTGTATACAAAAATCAGAGTACAAAAAATTCACAATGAAAATCTCAACGTTCACCTTGCAAGATGATTTGTTTAGAGGTCAATGTATGAGGCATGGTGAATGCACATGTACCAGTGACCGTCAACCTTCTCAAACACATTAGTGGCAAACTGTTTACCCCAGCCACCGTGTCTGGTCTTCACCATCTCAATGCAAGTAACATAGCCAATGTCCCCTCTGGCGTGAACCGCCACGTCCTTAATCTCAATCTCTAATGGGAACTCGTAGTCAGCCCACACATATTCCCAGCTTCCCATCACAAGATCATACCCACAAATGCCACTCACTCCGGGATGTACTGCGCACGCGTGTTCACCCTTAGACCAGAGATTTTGCAAGGCAGCCAAGTCACCCGTCCTGAATGAATTGTAAAACCGGGCATTTGCTGCTAAGACCGATGCCTTGATGTCATGGTGGAGAAGGCGAAGGTTGTCTCTGATTTTTGCTGCCTGGGGATAGTTCTCTTCTTGAATAGCAAGCTGGAGTTCTTCCTCCATACTCTGCTCGTTCAGTAGGATGCTTTCGCCACTCAGTTTTTCTTCAGTGTCCTCACTTTTTGCTTGGCAAGGGCTTGGAAGATATGAATGGGAAGACAGAATATTCTGCTCTGAATAATAAACATATACTTACAAAAAATCATGGCATGATGAGATAAATACTGTGTAGTATAATTGATAACTGAGAAAATGACCGATATAGGAGAAAAAGAAACTAACACAATGCATATCAATTTATTCTTTCTAGTAATTGATGATTAAGAAAGCACGCCAGCAAAAATAATAAAATGGAATTTGCATCCAGAAGACGGAGCAAGTATGAGAACCTTCAAAATGAATAAAATCCAAGAAAAGTTGAAGAAAATATACTTGGTACTTTGGGTGTTGGAAAATAAATTGGCCTTTTTTCAGTAAGCCCTGGAAATTCCTAGTGCATTGTTGGCGCGAATCTGAAGGCAAACAATTCACTGCCTGGATACAACCGTTTCTGATATCCGCCTTGCTTCCCTGATATCAAAGGTTAAAGAATGCAAGAGAAATCAGAATATAAAAAACACTAAAAAAAGTGTAACAATCCATTCATATAAGCAACATCAGAAACACAACCATTTAAAAAATTAGCAAGTTATGAGATCTCCTGTTTCAAATACAACATTAGGGACAAAGAATAATTTCTCTTTGACTGAATGTTTAAGGCTACATGCCTACATTTACCCTAAATCCAAACTCCGTTTGTTCCGAGGGGTCATGACGTACTACTCAAAACTCCATAGAAAGTAAGAAGTAACTGGGAGGATTATTGTGCTATTTTGATTTAGGCCATTATTTACCCGGAGGCCGGAGCTAAAACAGTGCCAGCAGTAAAGTGATACAAACTAACAATAATATTAAAAGAAGAGATTTCTTAAACCTAACTTATACCTCATGTCCTCATGGGAAACATGTCAAATAGCCATTCTCTCTACACTTTTGACAAAATCATGGTTTACAAAATAAACAATGTTTTCTAACTTATTCGATCCAACAATTACTAAACACCCTTGACTTGATCATGGATCATAAAAAGAACACAATAACCAAAAGATTTGGTTTTTAGTAAAAGTGTTGACTCGGGCTAGGCCTCTTTCCTCAAGAAACTTTAAAATCAAACCAACTTCAAATCTGTCTAAGCTCTAAACATCATGGTCAACATTTTGCACAATCAGCCAGTGTCCATATACAATTTAGGGAATTTGGCATTCTTAAGCAGGTTGATGTGTTTCAGCATCATACTAATAATCAATCTAGTCCTCAGAATCGCCTACTCTTCAATCATATGTTTTTTTCTTTAAAAAAAAATTACAGTCCAGATAAAAGTCCAATTTTAATTTTGAAAAAAAAGAGGGATTCATAAAATCGTTAACCTGGTAGAAGAGAGGAATCCGACAGAGACGATGTGACAGATAAGATGCAGAGAAATTCGAAACCTCCATTAGAGCTGGAGTCAATGAATCACCAGCTGCAAAACCGATAGCTTTCGCGAAGCAAATCACTGCAGAATTTCTGAAGTCTAATCCAAATTACTGTAGTTTACCTGTGGAAGGTTTGAAGGTCAGAGAGAATCTGCGATGACGAAGGTGAAGTAATAATAAAGGTGTTGTTGAAAAGGTGCTTGGGCCATGTGAGATCAGCTGGAGACCCAAGTTGTGTCAGCCCATCAATTGGTCCATTATTGGGTTACTCTGCAATTTTAATTTTGTTAGATGAAATTCATTTCACCAAAGTGTTTTTTTATGAGAAAATATACAATAAAAGAATTAGCCATTTGGTATGAAATTTAAGGGGGTGTATAACATGAGCGTTTAGGAGTTTGAATATATTCCCCGTTTCAGTATATTCCCTAAGGCGAATTTCGTAGTCCTAAGGTTCACGCTCATTTTATGAATCTTAATATGTACAGTAAATATCATAAATGAATTAAGTTCTTTGGAAAAAGTGAAGAATTTCCATGGCGCCCAATATAAAAATAGCTTAATCCTTTTTTTTTTCTTTTTCCCTTGTGGAAGGGTTGCTTTTTCCCTAGGAGACAGGGAAGAGTCACATGAGGGCGACGAGAGAAGGAATAGCACATGCAAAGAATATACCAAATGAGGAGAAGGAGACTCGTTTAGGTTTTGTTAAAGGGGTGAAATGTTGTATGTATATATAGTAGTGTCGGCCGGGTATGAATGGCAGTTTCTGGTTCAAGCATTGTTCTCTAAGTGGGGACCTTTGTTGATGATTCGTTCGGCTCATAATGCCTTAGTTAACTTCCCAAATGTTTTTCGTTTTTTTTTTAATTTAATATTCTTTGGGAGAAATACTCCCTAATAATCTCTCCGTCCCTAAAAGATTGTCACAGTTCAATTTTTTTAGGTCAAACTATGATGTTCTTTAACTATAAATTAAATATATAGTTTAAAAAATAAAATATTATAAAAATTTGATATTCCCAAACTATATTTTGAAATAAACCAATTTTACTAAACTTACATTATAATAACTAAATATACTTTTTTTTTATATAATTTATGGGCAACGAGTGTCACAATTTGACCAAATAAGTCAAACTGTGATAATCTTTTAAGAACGAAGAGAGTATATTTTCTTCTGCTTTTGGATGTATGGAGTATTCCTTATAATTTGGTCAAACTATGGCACTCGTTGACCATAAATTATAAAAAAAAAAGTATATTTAGTTATAATGTAAGTTTCGTAAAATTGGTTTATTTTAAAATATAGTTTTGGAATATCAAATTTGTATAATATTTTATTTTTTAAACTATATTTAATTTGTAATCAAAAAGTCAAGAACATTGTACTTTTCAAACTAGATTATATGTAAAAAAAATCACATACGTACTCCCTAGCTACTTCATGTGCCAAAAGACACCAGTTAACTTTGTGAGGATTTAAGAAAATTTTAGAATTGGTTAAAAGATATGGAAAAAGTGTAAAAGTGATTTAAAAAGTAAGAAAGTGTAAAAGTAATTAAAAATAAGAGAAAGAGTGTAAAATTAATTAAAATGATGAAAATAAATTGAAAAAATAAGTTGGTTATGCCAAATTAGAAGTGTGTCTTTTGGGTAGGATGCTCAATTAGAAAACTATGTCATTTGACAAGAGATGGAGGAAGTATTAATGAAGGACAATTTGGAAATTTACTCCAAAATTTAGGGAGTATGTAGCAGTGGTGGACATAATTGGTGACCGATCCGATAGTATTTTGAAAGAACCTTTATTATGTCATTACTATTGTACATTATAGTTTTGATTTTACGCCTAAACCCATTTCATACTATGTGATTCGCAAACACGATGATAATAGTCATACTAATTTCAAACTATATTGTAATACTTCGGCATTTGTTATTCATAGAAACTAATCCACGTAACTAAAAAATTTGATGCACCAATATATGTTTTGCATTCTTACTTAGTGTGGGTTGGTTATAAAAAGAATATTATTGTTTGAGTTGTATTCTAGGGCAATAAAGTAAAATAAAACATAAGTATAATTATGTTAAATCGCACCAAACAAATATAACTTAAACTTATTAAAAATAATAACAAATGAAAGTGTATGATCGATTTATTAATTTTACATATTAGTGGTAACGATTCGGTTTGATATTTTCAATTTTTGGGAACCCGCCCGTACTATTTTAAAATCGGTTGGGTTCATATATAATTTACTACTATAATCATTTGAAATCTTGTTTTTTGGTATGGTGCAATATCGTTCTGGATCAGAATAATACCGGTATAGTATTCTCGCCCACTCTAGTATTTAGAAAAAAATAAGCTAATCCCTAAAGGCTCGTTAGAACTAGCCAAAGAGTCATTGAGGAGGAGATAAATAAAGCTATAATCATAAATTGGCTAGCAAGAAGTTAGTGGAGGTCGCACCTGCTACCAGCATGCGCTCTATACTTAGAGGATCTTTAAAAGTAATCACTCCGTCCCGGAGTATTCGTCCAATTTTGACTTTTGGAACTATTCATCTAAGTACTTTGACTCATCAAATTCTCTCAATATGTAAGCCTAAATATAGTCATGTGTGATCTTGTTTGATTTATCTTAACATATATATTATTAAAATATAATTTCTATAATTTTTTAATATATAAATTACAAGATAAAATGGATTAAAGAAGTGTATTGAATGGTGTGTAAAAATGAAAGTAGACAAATACTCTGGGACGGAGGTAGTAATTAATTTGTGGATAAATTAATTTTTTACAAAAGTTGAAAGTAAAAGCACTTCATTAGTCATTACTGCTTATTCAAAATGATGCTCTATTCACTCCCCAACTGAGTTACCAAAAATCAAATTCTAAGTTTATTATTTTTGGTACCCCTGGCCTAACCCACTTAGGCATGCCACCTAGTATTTAGGAAGAAAGTTTTGGAGAGGACGAAGCACTTTGTATACAAAGTGAGACGTTTTTCTAGTATACAAGGGAATTTCTCTTTTCCAGAGTTTTTTTTTTACGAAAAAAAGGCTATGGTCTCTCTCTCTCTAGCGAACTCAACTGCCGCTCCGTGTTCAACTCGCGTTTTTAGCAGCCTTTGCATCTAAGGAGACGAATCATCAAACACGAAGAACACACGCAGATATCTAAAAAAGAAAAAGAAAAAGGAGAAAAGAACTCAAGCGACGAAATGCACGCGTAACACGCTGTGTTGATGATAGAGACAATTCGATCAATCAACTTCTGATCTGTACTTATCATTGCAAATATCGATTCTTTCATTCTGGGATTTTACCTGTCTTGTGGCCTTCCTTTTCTCGAATTGAGATCTTCTTGTTTCGTCTCGCCTAGTGGGAATCCTCCGATTCTTTCTCGTTTCTTGATTTCTGTTTGGAATTGCGCCGCCGCCCCAATTGAATTTTCTCAGGATGAACGACGTTGACGATTCTTTCGTGATGTAATATGGAACTTGTGACTGTGGCGAACACATACGAACATGTCGCTTTACATTGGTCGGGAGGCTTCAAAGGTTTGGTCTTTTTTCTTTCTTGTTCTTCCAAGAAACTTGCTTCAATTCAATTCTGCATTTTATGTATTCATTGGACAAATTGAAAAACAATAAGGCGCTTTCTTGATGTGGGATTTTGTTGTTTCATCTGCGAGAAGCTTTGGAAGAGATTCTGTGCAGAGATTACAGCAGAGATCAAGCTTCTTGCGGAGAATTGGAAGTATCTTCTGGGAGGTTTACTCTGTCAGGCATGCATATTCTGGGATTTCATTCTTTAAATTTTCTGGGATTTTTTCGTTTTGATCTGGAAATTAATTTGGATGCATTATTTCTTGATGCATATTTCATTTCCTTTTATCTTCTTGGTATTGTGCTCTGTATAGAAAATAGAAATGCACCATGTGAAAATATCTATATGTGTATCTCTATCTTGTTTGTTCAGTACATCCATGGATTGGCTGCTCGAGGGGTTCATTACTTCCACCGCCCTGGACCTGTCCTGCAGGATGTTGGGTTCTTTCTTCTGCATGTGAGTTTTGATTCTTTATCCCTTTCGTCTGAAATCTGAATAATTCTACTTGGGAGAAGATTAATTTTGTTAATCTTTTTTCTCCTTTGGTTACTTCAAAAACATTATAGGAACTTGGTCAAGACAAGGCTTACATCAGTGAGACAGTATTCACTTTCATCTTTCTATCTTTTTTTCTTGTGAGTTCATTCTTCCAATTTTCTTTCTTTTTAATTATCATACTTCTAATTGCATTTGTTAACATGAAGTTATTACAAAGCTACATTTGTGTGCTTTATTTTTACTCATCTTGGCACTTACTGTATTAAAATGTTCTTCTTTTTATCATGGCACAGTGGACTTTCCATCCATTCATCTTAAAGAGCAAAAAAATCTACACTGTTCTAATTTGGTGCAGGGTTTTGGCTTTCTTGGTTGTAAGTTCCTTTTCTCCATGAAAATGCATTTTATGTCTCATACTAATTATAGTAGTTTGAACAATAATTTGATGTTCAATAAGGATCCGTTTGGTATACGGAATTGGTGGAATTGGAATTGAAATTCCATGGGATTCAATTCCATAGAATTGAATTTTGCCAATTCCAATTCATTTTTTGCACTATCAATTCCAAATGCACATAATTTTTCTGCTACCAAACACCAGAATTGGAATTGAAGTCCCCAATTCCAATTCCATAGTTTGAATTCCATGTACCAAACGGGACCTAAATCAATATCAATTTAGTTTAAATATGACGGGTGAACTGAGTTTATATTTAATTTATTGCAGGCTTCTCAGTTTCTTCGCATAATAACTTTCTATTCTACTCAACTTCCCGGTCCAAATTATCATTGTCGTGAGGTAAAAAGCCTAAAGTGTATGATGAACATATTCTGTTTTAGACTCTATTTCCCTTTCTTCTTTCTTTATTGTGTGTGTATGTGTGATGCATGAATTTTTTCCGTAATATGCAGGGTTCAAAGCTTGCAACACTTCCCCGTCCTGATAGCATCTTAGAATTTCTAGTTATTAATTGTATGTGACAATTTGTATTCCCTTTTTGTGAATTTCGACTCTTTTATTATTAGTAATAATTCATACATATACTCCTAGAATATTTATTCTTTGAGATTTTACATAATTATGATTAGCGCTCCTTGAAGTTCACATTCAATTCTTTTTACAACAGTACTCCAAGTTTGCATATCGATCACGTATACCCCTCAAAACCCATGTAAACTCAAAATTCGCTTGGAGTATTATTGTAAAAATATTGAATTCTTAGGAGCGTCGGTGATAATTATGTGATCTTGGAGTATTCTTGTAAAATCTAAAATTTCTCGGAGTATTATTGACATGAATTTTTCCTTATTCTTATTAAATCTTGTGTTCTTCATGTATTTACAGTCCCTCGTGGAGTACTTTATGGTTGTGGGGATCTTATATTCTCTTCTCATATGATATTTTCTTTGGTCTTTGTCCGAACGTATCAAAAGTATGGCACACGTAGGTATGTATATACTCTCTCCCACCGACTGTAGGAGGTATATTTTTTAAAACTTCTATGAGACCCTTTGAGATTTTGTCAAATGTGTAGGTTGATTAAGCAATTTGCATGGTTATGTGTTGTTGCCCAAAGTTTCTTGATTGTCGCTTCTCGCAAACACTACACAGTTGATGTTGTCGTGGCTTGGTGAGGGCTTATATTTAACAATATTTGTTTGATAATCGTTTTACCTGAGTCCGATGCTTTGTTACCCGAATCATTCTTTTAATTGCAGGTACACAGTGAATTTGGTGATATTTTTTGTTGATAAGAAATTACCAGGTCACCATGCTTGACTATAGTAATATGGGTGTTTTCCTAGTCTATCTCAAAATTCTATCTTCTTAGTCATCTATACTTGAAACCATGAAAAGAACATATTCTCTTCATGGTCCTTGAGAATATTTTAGAATAGATGACTATATTGGGAAACACCTCTCTTATAGTGGACTATTCAGGGAATTTACTCTAGTAATAATAATAAATATACTAAAAGAAGTGAGGATTTGTTGACACAGAATTGGCAGATCGGTCTGGATCAGCAACGTTCTTGCTACCGTTGACCAAGGACAACATCAAGACGAAAGACGAGAACCACAAACTTTTGAATGGGAATTCTAGAGATCTTGTTGGACCGGGTAAATATATAAATAGGAAAACAATAACATCTTCCCCCCATTTTTTTGCAATGTTTTGTTTCCCTAACCGACATTATTCGATGCTCCAGAGGTTTAGCTAAGCTAGAAGAACCAACCCATTGCACGGTGAAGGGTTGTTCGTTGTTGATGGAACGAAGGGCGTGTTTGGGGGACCAACTAGTTAGGAAGACCAATGCCAACTTCTGTGGTTTGGGTAAATTTTGGAATTTGTATAGTGCGTAGGAAAATGATCGAATCAAGGGAGGTTAATGATCTCTTTCTCACTCAATATTCATGTTGTTGATTATCATATGGTTGGGTTAGTCATGTTGATTGATGTAAAGCAGCATTACCTACTATGGAATTGTAGTTTCTTCATTCAAGCACAACAATTATTCCCCTCTATGAGGATGTTTGGGTGTTATTTTTTTTTTTTTTTTGAAAATTGACACAACAGAATCTATGAAGTTTCTAAAACAAGTTGAAATTAGACACTTAAAGCAAAAGATGGGAATCATTATTAAAACCAGTCTAAAATATCCATTTGTGTCCTTCACTAGGTTATACTATGGCATGTTTTTTTTTAACAATTGAAATTGGAACCATTTAAAAAGGTTGCGGTCAAGTTTTTCACTTGGCACAAGGGATCCCCCAACAATTGCCAATAAATAAGCAAAGACATCCAATCCCATTAAGGTTGCCTAGGTAGCTCAACTAGTCCAAGGAGAAGATGTCAATCCTATTAATTTTATGGTCGAATTCTGCCAGCGGTAGTGTGGAGTTCTATTCTTTGTAATAGCTTTTTGTGCACACCGGGCAAAGAACGAGATCTCTAAGGATCAGATTAAGGGTCCGTTTGGTATACGGAATTGATGGAATTGGAATTGAAATTCTATGGGATTCAATTCTATAGAATTGAATTCACCCATTCCAATTCATTTTTTTCATTATCAATTCCAAATCCACATAATATTTGTGCTACCAAACACCAGAATTGGAATTGAAGTCTCCAATTCCAATTCCATAGTTTGAATTCCATGTACCAAACGGGGCCTAAGATTATATCATGATTTACTCTCTTTAGTATTCAATCGGGTCGGGGTGTGGGAGCGCCCAAGGTGGACGTTCCACCTTTTCATTAAGGTTGATTGTTTTTTGACAAAGAATAAAGATATTTGTACCCCCAAGAGTTTTGTATCCTATTTGTACACTGCGGGTGTGCACCAACATTTTGTATTGGTGTAATGCTAATTTTTGTTAACGCACCAACACTTTGTGTTAATGTAAATTTTTGTTAACGCACCAACACTTTGTGTCAGTGTGAATAATCACAATGTTGTAAGTTTGGGGTATAAATTTTGGTGTAAGTGTAGTATGGCCCTTGTTTTTTTTATTTTAAAACGGTAACATAAATGGTGGTGGGGTGCAAATTGAATGTCTTTTCTAAGAACACAGGCCTACTACTTCTTCTGTGAGGTACTGTGTCTAAATTCTTGAATTTTGAACCCATCAGTCCGTGAGTGGTAACCCAAAAACTTTTTTCCATTTTTTTGGTTGCCTTAAAATAAATTCTTTAAAAGAATGAAATAAGTGGTCCATATTGATTCCCCACTTCCCCTTTCCCATAAAAAAATTCATTTTTTCTTAACCTACTACATTAAAAAAAACAAACGGGGAAAGATTAATTTGAAATCAATGAAGTATGTAAGAAAATGTTTTTTTTTCTTGCATTAAAAACATCACATGCATCATCTTCTTGTTTTCTTTCACATTCCCATGTGGACTGACTCACACAGAACTGAATTGGGTCAGTGATTCCAATGTTTTCTTGTACGTGTACTAGCTGGTTACTACTACTCTGCCATCCTAATGTTGTCTTGTGCCCGCATGGGTAGCTTAACTGGTCCAAAAAAAAGTGTTAAGTTCGTTGATTCTATGGTTGAATTCTGATAGTGACAGTGTGTGAGTTTTATTATTTATAATAGATCCTTGTACATAATGGGTATGGAGCGGCCCTTTTAAAAACCAGATTATACTATGAGTTATTCCATCACAATCCTGTTGGGTCAGGGTGTGAAGGCGTCTTCCACCTTAATGTTATGTTGTCCCACCTTTTTTTTCTTTTTTTTTTCATTAATGCACAACAACGAACCAGCGTTCCTGCGCTGTCTAAATTTAATGGTCATCTTATGTCAATGTCTAGCTTCTACGTACCTTTTTTGGGTTCGTACTACGATTTTTTTTAATAATTGCCCATTTAATGATAACTAATTCCCAGCTTATAATGGGGTGACTTCCATGAAATAGAAAATATTTGTCACTAAATTCGAAAATACAAGCCTATGGAGATGTCATTCCAAAATCAATTGGTGATACGAAGAGAGAGACATACCATAATGAAATTTTCATGGGCTACTCTGATACTATGATGAAATTTTTCATGGGCTACTCACCTAATTGACTAAGAGACCACGAGTTCGAAATTCAGCGTCGTTCTAATTTTAAAAAGTTAAGATTTCACGTGCAAGTCTTGAAAAGATTATGCATGCACGTGACACGACGTGTTAGAACATAAAAAATCATTCCTGGACCAGACTACAAGCTTGAGCTTTTGGCTGGATCAATTCAATGATATGATATCCGAGGCTTGTTAACCAAGAGTTCATGTGTTCAAACTTCAGCACCACCTAGTTTGAAAATATTTAGGTCTTACATGAAATTGTGCAAAGCTCAAAAAGATTACGCTTGCACGTCGGGGCTTGTTAGAATATAAAAAATCTTTCTCGTGCCACTATCACAATTCACAAGTTTGAGCTTTAGGTGAGTTGGTTCCTTGTCATAATATTAGAGCATGTTCTAGTCCATCTCGCTTGTCAAGGTATCCACATGTTCATTCCTAGCTGCCCTGATCTTCAGCTCAACTGTTTGTATAGAATACATATACCCAATGACTTGTGGCTCGTTTAATCCGATTGTTCGTATGAAAATTCATACCCAATGACTCAGGATCCTTTACATGTCGCCACTCAAATATTCAAATATTCATTTAAAGGGGATGTGAATCCATTTTCAAGTAGTCAATTGTTTAAATTCAAATTCGTCTGACTGTTTACTTCACGGGTAAATGTTAAAGAGTATCACTTATAAGAAAAGTGAAAATAAAAATAATGAGTATTTATATAAGCACCCGAGTTGAACTAATTAAATGATTGAATTCAATATTTTAATGTGGTTCAACTCAAATGTCATATGATTCAATCCAGTAGCCCTTATCCCACCCAAAAATTTTTTTTCACCCAACACCTCTTTTTTCAAACGAATTTCTCTTCCCAACATAATATTAGAATTCTATATATATTTTTTCCAATTCTTTCCTATTTCAACTCTATATCTTTTATAGAGTATTTTATTTTATCAAATATTCAATGAAATCGTGCAAATAAATAAAAGTAATCGAAAAGGAGAGAGAAAACAATTGTAATCAAAATGGGAACGAAGAGAGTATTATTTTCAAAATAGAATCCAAAGAATGAAAATATATAATATTAAAAAATAGGGTGGGGATCTTTTGACCTTGGATTCCAAGGTCATTTTCTCACTTGGGCACCTACGGTACTTTGTTGGTAAAATTTATGGTTCCTACACCTAACCCCCGCCCCCCACCCTAAACCCCCTGCCCACACCAGAACACCCCCTGGCCCCCACCCCATTTTGCCGATTGGCTATATCAATACTGTAGCCACTAGCCAATCGGCGAAATGGGGTGGAGGCAAGGGGTGTATGATGGGGTGGGGGCAAGGAGGGGGTAGGGGGTTTGGTGGGGTAGGATGATACGGCTGACTCGTATCGGATTAGAAAGACTCAGAGCGTCTTGAAACTTCACAAATTGGGGACGAGAATCATAAGAAATCACGTAGGCTTTGGTAGCCGAGGATATTGAGACGAGGAAGAGAGAAGAACGCAAACAGAAGCCTAACGCCAAAGGGAAGGAAGAGAGTTTAGGATTTGTGTTGTTATTGATTGCTTCTTCTTAATAGGTTACATATCTATTTATAAGGAATCAATGAAAACCCTAGCTCAACTAATTTCTAGCCTGTGAGTTCAACAAATACATCGAGGTAAAGAACTGAAAATAAATCCTCGAAGAACTTATAAATTTGCTTACCTAATACGGAGTAAAACGTAAATTACAATACTAATACAAGACCCCTACGGTTCGTAAGATTGATGGTTCCTATCCCCAATACCCAGCGCTTAGCTTGCCCCCTACTTGCAAACCCCACCACAGCACCCCCTGCCCCCCACCCCCCCATCCCCCCTTCCCCATTTCGCAAGTAGGGGGCATAGAGGTAGGGTTTAGAAGCGGTAAGAACTATCAATTTTACGAAAGGAGCACCGTAGGAGCCCCGAGTCATAATATGACCCGAGATTTTAAGGTAAAAGATCCTTGCCCATATTAATAATATTGCTATTAAATATTCTACTTTACTATCCAAAAATAGGAACCATCAATTTTAAGAACGGAGCATCGTAAGTATTCTGGGTCATAATGTGACCTTGGAATCCAAGGTCAAAAGAACCATTTTGTAAAAAATAATGTATAACATCAATATATAGTGTTACACTATAACAATACAATAAATTTTTTTTGGGTAAAAATATATCACTTATGTTTTGAAGATACATGATTAGAGTAGGCAAGATTTTGGACTTCTCACCCTGACTGATGATATGACCTTAGATAGGAACCTTTGGAGAACTAGGATTAGAGTAGCTGGATATGAGCTCGGTACTGTAGGGGTTGTTTGTAGTGTGTTGTGTTTGTTTGGAATCTTTTGCTATTGCTTGTACTTGTTGCTTGAACTTGGTGCTTTACCCGTGCTATACTATGTTTCCTTCCATATTTTTGTGCAGGTTGAGCAAGAAGTCTCTTGGAAACAGCCTCCCTACTTTCGAGTAGAGGCAAGGTCTGCGTACAGACCCTACTGTAGTGGGATTCAACTGGGATGTTGTTGTTGTTGTATTTGAAGATACATGTTAGGTTTGGTTCCTATTTAAGTGAAATTTTAAAGAAAATGGTTCTCATAAAGGTTTGTCAAAATGAATTTTATGCAGTAAAGATGTGAGCAAGGCTTTCAAAAAAAACACTCCAAAGTTATTAATTGAATGGTTAAGTACATGAGAGCAGAATTTGATATCAACTAGGAAACTAATCTGTTACAACTCTGTGCAACTTAGAACTAATAGAGTGTATGAAATCAATTTCAGTCATGTCTTAGACTTGAGTATCAGAGTAATAATGTCACAATATATAATATCAATATATAGTGTTACATTATTGCAATACAACAATTCTTTTTTGAGTAAAAATATATCACTTCTATTCTGATGATACATGTTATGTCTTGTTCCTATTTTGAGTAGTTTCTTAAAGAGAGTAGTTATCCATGGAGAAGAAAAATGGAGATGGAGGGTCAATCTTGGCTAGGTCATAAAGGCTTGTCAAAATGAATCTTTTAGTTCCATTGTCACATTCAAATTTTTGAACTTTTATGCAGTAAAGATGTGAGCAAGGCTTTCAAAAAAAGCTCCAAAGCTATTAATTAATGGTTAAGTAGATGAGAGCAGAATTTGACATCAACTAGGAACCTAATCTGTTACAACTCTGTGCATCTTAGAACTAATAGGGTATATGAAATCCATGCCAGTCATATCTAGACCTGAGTATCAGAGTCAACTTTCCACAGCATCAATTGATCCTTTAAGCTCCCAAAAGACTCATTTGTGGCTGTAGAAACCTCAATTACATTTCCTCTCATCCATTGATCTGCCATAAGCCTTCACTGCAGGGGAAAGCAAACCCACAATTAAACAATGGCTTCACTATGAAAGAAAGTTAACTTCCACAAATCATGCAAAAATAGGAGCAGTAGTTACCAGGACTTAAAATCTCTATGCGTTTAGTGACAGACTTCATCGATGTGAAAGTATTTGGATCTATAAGCCAACAAAGATATTTTGTTAAGATTCCATTGAACGGAACTAGTTTTTTTTATAAAACTGCATGATTGAACATTCATAATACCTGATAAACCAGTTTCTTTTGCAAGGACTTCTGTGAACGTTGATGAAATATGAGAGGAAATTTGGTTGGCTCCCATATCACCCTCTCCGGACTTGTTTGGTGAGCTGTAAATGAGAAATTTAAACAAAATGCCTCAGATTCTGTAAATACAATTCAAAACATCCAGAAATAGATATAAAGGGGTTAAGAGCATTTACTCAGAGAAGGGTTCTGGAGAAGAATTCTTGTCTTGCTGGGGAGAAGAAAAATTTCCTTGTCCATCGAGTTCAAAGTCGACCAACAGCTCAGAGAGGTTAAACTCCATTCCAAGAGCATCTAAATCTAAGTCAAACATCTCTCCATCAGATTCAGAAGTAGAATTCCCACCAGGGCTCGGCACCTTTGTTGAACTCGATGGCAAATCAGAGGCATCAAAATCTAACCTTCCTTTTACATGATCCCTCTTTGTGCTATTCATGTTTGCCTTAACTGGAGACAAAGTAGATATGCAACGGTTTCTCTCAATAGAATAGTAGCCTAGTTGCTTAGACGGGCTGACTCGTATTGTTTCTGAAGAGATTATCATGCAGTTGGGTGATACCGCTTGCTGGGGAGTAAAATCATTGCCAGAAGTAGCCGTGGAAGTAATCTCTTGTGGTGAAATGGACTTCCCAGATTGAGAGGAGGATGCACGTGGCGGCGTCTTAGGACCAGACGAATTAGTTGGAGGGGACTGAGTTGATTGTTTAAACAGACACTTGGAAACAGTAGACCCTTGAACTGTTGTTCCATTAGATACATTACGATGGACTGATGATGGAATTGCTGAAAGTTTGGAAGGATTGTCATGACCACTATCTGCATTGTTTGCTTTGGCAGGTGCCTTACCACCTGCAATAACCATCTAGCACAGTAAATAACTTCTTTCAAAAACTATTGCGCCATTTTTAAAAATACATCTAGAAAAGGCCACAATGAATAGAAAGAGAAAAGACATTCTTTCCAGTTTAGCCATGCAAGAAATAAAGAAGATAAGTAGGAATGTGGAAGACAAAATCTTCCCACGATTTACCTTTCAAAGGTAATTTGCCTGCTGCTGAACTCTTATTAGATTTCTTAGAACTCAGATGAGCATCTGATATGGAGCGCTTCCTTTTAGTTGAAGTGGGATCCGTAGGTGTGGAAGAATAAGTGTGAACTATGGAGGGCGCCATGGTTTGCATCATAGTTTGGGAATTAAACCCTGAATAGCCACCTGACAATGTGGGTATCATAAGAATTGAGAACACAAAAATAAACACAAAGCCCTCAAATTCACTACACACTTGTCCATTCGGCATGACAGCGCCTAACCGAACTCCAAACCCCCTCGGGAGAAAATCACTTCAGAACAATATTGAATTGTCAAATCATGTCCCCAATTAATCATATCAAACCAACACAAAAGAACACTTTCAAGTATCTGTCTAAACTTGGTGTAGACAGCAAGTGCACCAAAAAACATCTAGTATACCCATCAAAACATTCAACAAGTGTAAATCATACAAGGGAAAGATGTGTAATGGGTATTGGAAAATTGGATGGAAATTACCTGCTGGAAATTGAGAAGAAGAAGAAACAAGAGCAGGGGGTGTGTTGATAGTAGCAGAAGCATTGTAAGCATTCATGACATCCTGCATTCCCTTGAGCAAATTCTGGAGTCGAAATTTCTCCTGCTCCAGAAGCCCCCTTTCTTTGTCAACTGCCAATTTCTGCCCCTTCAGACACACGTATTCATCCAACAACTCCCCCAAACTCAACACCTTCGTTGACTGTTCCACGAAACAACACAAATCAATCAAATCCCACCGGATAACAATCGAAATCGCATAAACCCTTGAAATCACCGAGTTTGACATTAATTACCTCCTGCGGCGGAGATTTGGAGAAGAGATGCGGAGCTTCGGAGCGGAAAGCGGATCTAGTCTCTGAGAGATTGTTGTCGCCGAGATAACAGTCGACGATGAAGGCGACCTGCGCCGGCGTCACTTTCCCTTTCCCGAGCTGAGCGCTTTCGGCGGATTTTCTCGATCTGCTGGATTCCTTGCTTTGCTTCCCCATTCTCTCCCGTTCTAAGCTATGTAATACAGAGAAAAAGTTCGGCGAGAAGTTGATAACGATCCGATCAGATGGCTGCAGAAATGAATTCGCACAAAGAAGATGGAACATATTAGCGGGAGAAAATATGAAGGAAAAAACGCGCGGTTTTGAATGTTTTTGCGCCAAAGGCAAAATGTATAGCTCCAACTATTTCACTATTTGTGCCGCTTACACTTCCCTTGTTCCCTCCCCATGTTTTTGAAATTGTCCCTTTTGCCCTAAAAATACTACAGTCACAAATGTACAATTGTCACAAAATATATAAATTTGTCACTTATTTGAATTTCTACTTTGTGTTATCTCACATTTATGTTCGTAACATTACATTTCTATTTTACCCTTTAACCCAAACCAACCGTTATTCATTTCTTTTTTTGTTACTCTCTTCGTCCTAAGTTTACTATTTTACTACCGGTACCAAGATTTGATTAAATTAATTTCTAACAAAATTTTTTAAATAATAATACAACATTTTTTTTAAAAATATTTATTTGAAAAACTACATTAGGTGCTCTATGAAACAATATGTGATATTAAAATATTATTTTTAATAAATGATTAACATAAATAAAAAAATATATTGTAGTCTAACGATTAATTTGGGACACATGAATTATATTGGGATGCAAACTCTTAAATATACATAGTCTATAGGATATTGTTAAGTAATGTTGTAAATATATTCTCAAACATTTGATTACCGTCCGTATCCGTTTACACGAAAAATACATGCATCCGTTAAAAGTGGTTATTATCCGTATTCGATTAAGTACATTCGATTGGTAAACAGATGTAAATTTGGTAATGACATATCTAATCTGTTTATAATTCGTTCTGCTTAAAAATCTATTTTAGTAACCATTTATCATTGTATCTGATCTGTTATACCCCAATATATAGTTTTTTCCATATTTTTTATTTTACATTTTTTTCTATTAACATCTCAGAGTATAAGACATTTTCATGTGTAAAATACTCCTTCCGTCCCAGTTTGCATAATATTCAAAAGTAATCCCTCCCTCCCAAAATGTAAGCAACATTACGTTAAATGAAGCAATTTTTTTAATTTTTTCAATCCATTGTATTCAAAGAACGGTCTACAAATAAAAAATAAATTTTATATATTTAAAAACTACGTCAAAAGTTCTACAAATTAAAACATGTGCTAACAAGACTATTTAATTTTATCAAATAATGAATGAAAATATAAAAATAAATAAAAATTCTCGTGATTTTTAAACAGTGAAATGTTGCTTACATTTTGGAACAAGGGGATCAAGTTGCTTTTTTAAAAAGATTTTTGTACAACTTATGCATCGCTTAAAACATCACATATGCAATCACAAGGGATATGCGCTCACTCTAAGGGCACTTGATATACCCGTGAAGCTTTGGGGCTACAAACTGAGGCTTCAAACCTTATCTCTCTGGCACGTCAGTTTTAACTTACCTCACAATCTCAGTAGAAATGAGTTTGAAGCGTCGGGGCTTCAAACTTTCATTTTTATATTTTAAATATATATCTTCTAAAATTAAATTAATTAAATTTAGTTATTCAAAAGAATCGAAAGGAGAACAGTTCATTAAAAAATTACATCCATAAAAAATTACATTCACTAAACAAAAAAATTACATAAAAAACAACACTGTAAACAAATTACTGATTGTTTGAGCAACTGAAGATATGTTCGATGAAATTCGCCATTGATGCATTTTGAATTTCCCGCCTTCGAATTCCTTGGTTGTTTCTTCATTTCTTTTCTTCATTAATTTCTTCGTACATAAGCACCCTCTCGTCAGGGCTGTAATAACAAATCACAAATATGTTATCCTCAACAATCTTATTATGAAGATAGAGAGAAATATGTGAGAGATAACTTTATTTTAATTGAATTATAAGGTTTTAGCCATTGGGAGGGGTGGGGAATTGCGTAGCACAACATCAAACTTTTGACGCAAGGGAACTGACGCCCCTTAATGCCGCAATGGGGGTAATGTTTAACGGCCATGGGCGTCAAAACCCTATTGACGCCGAAGGACATCAGCCTATAAGATAAATTATGGGCAGAAAGAATCACTACAAAAAATACGCGACATTGGCACGGCCGTTGGCACGGACTGTAGTATTGAATTTCCGTGACTTTGGATTTTGGCACGGACATTTGGCACGGAGAGCAGAGCTGCCAATTACGGGGCTCCAAAACATTTGGCACGGAAATGTATCCGTGCCAAAGCTTTGGCACGGATTTTAGCACGGACACTCTGTGCCAACCTAACGCCACTGACAATGTAACGTTTAAGTTATTGGCACGCCGTAGCCGTGACAACCGTCCGTGCCTAGTTTAGCACGTTGTANTTTTTCGTGGACGAATTGAACACGCACATAACCAATGAGATGCACGTTGACGTGTAGATGGGTACTTGGCATAGTACACTTGAGCACCTTGTTGCGCCAAAATAAAAGGTTCATTTTTCCGATATATCTTGGATTCATTAACATCCACAATATTAAACTTTGGGTGTTTCCTAACACCTTGTATTGGGTCAATCCAAGTACATTGGAAAAGAACAACCTTAAACTCTTTTTGGCCGGCAAACGTTAACTCAAGTATATCTTCTAAAGTCCCATAGAAATTTGTCTCACTATTATCGTAACTACACGTCGGGACACATAGACTGCTGTTCATTGATTGGCGACCCTCTCCATAACTCAAAGTGTGATAATTAAACCCGTTTACATAATACCCGGGGTAGGTTTCAACGTAACTTAATGGACCCCAAGCTAACGATTCAAGAAACCAGTCATAAGTTCCCGTCATTGCATTTGTTATCTGCATTTGGCAACTCATAAACTATTATATTGGTGGATAAAATGGAAATTAAAATGAGGTGGTTTGTGTTAATTATTTTAAAATTTATACAAATCACCTTCTCTTTAAACCACTCTGCAAACTTTGAATCAACCAAAAGATCAACATCTTCTTGTGAGAAATGAGACAAACTTTCACGAAATTCACTACACATATTGCGATGTTAATCGTACCAATAATTTAGTCAACGAAAGCTAAAAGTAGACAGGGATAACACAGACATACCTATAAAACGGTTGAACTTCAGGACAGTTAACTAGTATGTAGGTGTGTGCGATGCGATATAGATCTCCAGTAATGTATCGCTTGCCTACTTTCCCATAGCCACGACCAGGATAGTTAAATATCGAAAATGATTTTGAACCATCTCCAACATCATCATTTCTAGCTGGTCTTTTACGACGTGAAATGACATTTGGCTCAAAGTAATATGATGCGAATGTTGCAATCTCTTCAGTAATGTACGCCTGACAAATAGACGCCTCCACATGTGCTTTGTTTGTGACCTTTTTCTTCAATTGTCCTAATTTCCTGTGTTGGTATAACAATGATTATGCCAGTTTTTAGTTACAGTTATAATAAAAAAAGATATATACGACAGAAAATACTAACCTCTCAAAACAATACATCCATCTATAAAAAACAGGGCCAGCAACTTTGGCTTCATATGGAAGATGAATAAGAAGATGTTCCATTGAGTCAAAAAATGATGGTGGAAAGACCTTTTCTAGATTACACATTATTAATGGAATGTTGCGCTCTAAGTCTTCCAGACCAACAACATTGAGCACAGTGGAGCATATACACTGAAATAATTGGCTAACCTCAGTAATTGAATTCCAAACCGCCTCAGGGACCATTTCTTTCAAAGCAATTGGAAGAAGTCTTTGCATGATTACATGACAATCATGACTTTTCATATGCCGCATTCTCAAATTAGCCATGTCTACACAATTCGCTAAGTTTGAGGTGTACCCATCTGGAAATCGAAGAGCAGCTAGCCATTCTAATACTTTCCTCTTTTGCTCATTGGTAAGCTGGTATATTGCTTTCACAACTGGACCATCACTATCGGGTGCAACAGCAATTTCAGGTCTGTCGCAATGCAACCATACGTCCTTTCGCGAGTTGAGTCCATCTTTTGTCTTGTTTGGGAAGTTCATAACCGTGTTGAATATGTTATCAAAGACATTCTTCTCAATATGCATGACATCCAAATTGTGGCG